GCACCCAACCTTTAGTGAACTTCGCAGAATAAAAACGTATCGTGTAATGACGCAGATAATTGATATAAACAAATAATATTGTCTCGGCCTTTTTTTAATTTAGTACTCAAGCATGTTTTGACAGGCTTTGTATGGAATTTCTTAAATTATCAATCCTGCTAAAGTACTCATAAGCAGCACTTCGCGATATTTGGCCTAGGAAATGCATTTTTTATATGAACATTTGCTTACTCAGGATATGATATTAGTGGCAGGCCCGTCAAATTAAATTTGGCATTTGTCTTCCGTAAAATTGGCCAAATAAAATTAAAGGGCGCAGGAGGAAAAATACCTCGGAAAGTTTGGCTGAATTCTAGCGCTAGGCACCACTTCACGGACCTGTGTGAACAAATATTTATTTCTTAGAACAAATTCGCTTTATAAATTTCGGCGTAGCCAGCCACAAAAAGTAAACTTATATTCGCCATCGATAATCCTGCACTCAAATAGCTTTTATGCAGATGGCTCTTATTATCTTTTTTTTTTTTTTTTGGTGGGGGAGGGGGGGGGGGGGGGGGGGGGGCCTCAATCATTGCGGATTTTAGATACTGGCAAAAGACAAAACAACGTAAGAAAAAAAATAATAAAACGTCGTCATTATTGCGCATGCGCCGAACCCAAACCGCGTTTTGGATTTGCAAATAGAAATGACGTTATTTTTTTGTGCACGCTATTCTAAAACTCGCTTCTGTTAAGTGTATGTGGCAGTTTCTTACGCGGGAGGTCCCAACCTTTCTGTTAAGTAAATTAAGTCGAGGGCATTGGTTATCTAAATGTAATCAATAAATCATTTGAATGACTGTCGAAATGGGAGCGAGCATGGTGTAGAATTTTATTAACTTCATAAGTAAACCGACCAACCGAATGTCTACGTCGCAAAGAAAGAGATTGAGAACCTCATACACATGTGAGCGTGATATTATGAACAAACAAATTGCTTGATGCTGGCGTACCTTTACTTTTAGCCTCAGTTAAAATACAAGTTAAGCGTTCGTTGTCTATCTCCTCCGCAAGTTTTCTCACATAACAAAAAGAAACTGTTTTCGATATATTATGAATACAAAGAACGATACTTTCAGGGAATACAGATAGTCTCCTTGTGTTGACTATTCTTGACGCCTTGCGAACCTAAATGCGCGATATAAATATACGAGCTTCTTACTGAGAACGTTCCGCCACCATTAGTAAACAAACCTCAGGAGTCGTCGAGTAGACGTATCGGACTACATTTTCCGAAGTAAGGCAAGCAAGCGCGGTGAAACGCGACGAAAAACACGAATACAACGCATCCGCCTAAGGCGCGGAGGGGAGAGCGGAGCAGCAAGTTGAAGCAACCTAATGGCTGCCGCGTCATGTGACTCCAAGATGGCAGCGCCCATGCCGAGGAGGATTAAATGGTCTATACGGGATTGTTTTTATTTCCGGACATATTGCCGCGCGCGCAGCTAGCTTGCCAAGTATGCAGCGCGCGCGTGGTCTAACGGTTATCGTACCTGGCTCCCACGCGAAAAGCCAAGGTTCGATTCCTGGGAGCGACGCATCTTTTTGTTTATTCCTGCAGACTAGTATTCTGGTAAATTCGAGAATCCTGTTGAGCTTGTTCAAGGTCCGAATGTTCTACACGTCGAACTTTCTACGCCGATTATTCCAGCAGCCCACGCATGTAAGTACATAAAGGGCTCCGCGTGGCGAGCCACAGTCAGTTTCGCCCAGGGGGGTAAAGGTGGGTGAGGAGGAGTGGCAAATCCCGTGCGCCGACACCCGGGGTCCCGAGTGAACGATCGCATAAGAGAGCGACAGAACACGAGAGAAAGCAACGTTGCCATGGTAAACGCGAAGAGTGAAAACTCTCAGCAATATAAACAGTGATAATTTAACGTTGTAAACTAAATTCTGAGCTATTCTAACGCTTATTTCTAACGCTTACAAAAAGCAATAAAGTCATCACGCTGCATTAACTTCCCTTCTGTCGAAATCTCGGAAATCTAGTGGTTGCGCAGTTTCGTATTCCTCAACCGCGCCGAGCCGCGCCCCACCGGCGAAGCCGGGTTTATGGTTTAGTTTAGCGTTAATGCGAGGCCGTACATCTGCGCGCTATGCAAAAAGAAAGCTTCGAAAGGAACGCGAATATCTTTCCACCGCTAAGTTCGTGGATTGTTGAAGTTCACGAAACTGCTCTGATGATGTAACCGTGTTTGGGACCCCGAGGGTCTGCCTGCATGATCCGCCGCTTGCGGCAGCTAGAGCACTATATAGCTCCTTCGGAGCAGAGTAGCGCAATCTAGAACGCCGCCTCTCGGCGACTAGCGGCGAACGCCCGGAGGTTCCAACTGCGGTCAAAAATGCATGGAGAACGTGAGACAATCGCTGTTTCTTCAGTATTGTGTGGGTGTACGGAGTGGCAATTGTTTTTGACATAATAATGGAACATTTTAGAATAATTTGCGCTAAGTTTTGTGCCCCGCAAGGACCTGACTTTTTTTTTAAAAATTGCTTGAGCGGCATCATGCAGCAGACGACACGGCGACGTCACACCATTCACGTGACCCGCTCCGGCCAACCCGAAAAGCCCATCTCCGCTGCGAGCAAAAATCGTCTGCTTCAAACGCCATTGCCTTGGAAATAGCCTTCTCAAAATTTGCACACGCATCCGATATTATTAAAACTTTGATAAAGTGTTTAGTGCTTTACTAACTTCACGGCAGACTAGTTTTGAAAAGTGTGAACTCGACGTTCATTTTTTTAATCAGCCGTGTTGTGTCGATCTCCATGTATTCTCCCATAGGGCGGGCCGCCTCCTGGAACCCTGAGTACCACGTGACTCGCGCCGAGCCACTCTGTCGGCCATGTTGTCGGCAAAACACGGGGTTCAAAGGATTGCGCTACTCTGCTCCGTAGGAGCTATATAGTGCTCTAGCGGCAGCCAGAATGTATGGGAAAATGGCGGACCTTTTCCTCTAGAGTTAGTATGTATGATCTCTATGGTTTCGCCCCAGCGTTCGACTCTGCTGTCACACCGACCTCGACGCCCGCGACGCACTACTTTCTTCTGTTCCCTTTTTATTTTTTGGGCACAAGTTCGCCCCATTAAACGTTTAGTTTCTTCAGTTATCATCGCCTCATCCTTTATCATTCGTGACAATATCACAGACATGGCCAATGAGCAGTATGCATTCCCAAACTCGGGAAACAGATGATGCAGGTTTGCGTTCGTCGATAGTTACCTGGGCAGAAGTAGAGTAAAATTAAGACGACGCCATTATCATTACGTAACGCAAAGAACATACGGATGTGCGCAAGTCCGGATAACGTACTATTCGACTGAATAAAACGTGTTTTCAGGAGAGCGTGGAGGAACTTGCGAGGCGGACCCCTGGAGGCATGATCGAAAAAACTCATCTTAAAAACAAAAAAACAAAAAAAAAAAACAGTTTTTTAGCAACAACAAGTACCTTTCTATTTTTCTTTTTTTTTTTTGTATGTTGAAGGGGTGAGGTGGAACGCAACAAAACGAGGCTTTAAAAATTTATCACGTACAATGAAACTACTTTTTCTACGAAAGCAAACGAAAGTATTGTAGCAAACACTCCAAGTTGACTAAAAGTAATAAAGAAATCTGATAAAGTCTCCTCTTCTTGCAGCTCCTATTCGGACTCAAAATGGTGTCTTTTAATATTTGCATTTTATTGTAAGATGGGGCATGCTATTGAAAAAAAAAAAAAAAAAAAAAAAAAAAAGATATTGAAAAAAAAAAAAACGAATTAGAGGGCAATTTTATAGTATTTTTATCCTGTGAATCTGAATATCACGTTCGTTTCTACCGAAGATGTAACTAAACGCGAGAAAAAACGACAAACATCCGAACAGTCGTTACGCCATAAAAGGATCTTTCGGCCGCCAAAATTGCCAAAATATTCCCACGCACTGACACCAGTCATGACTTCATTTTCTGACCTTTCTGAAAATAGCGAGAGTGCACGCGTGCATAGCTTTGACAGGCGCTGAAGATACGCGAGAGCGGAGATTCCGGAAACTCCTTTTATGACGCTTTGCTCCGGGAATGAAGAAGGGCTTCGGCAGTACTTTGAAACTGATTTTCCGCAACATTCGTGCGCCAGATTAAAAAATAACCTCGATATTCGTGATAATTATCATTGCACAATAAAGACGATTAAGTGTTTTTACTCAAATACAGAACCGCTTCACCTTTCCTGTAAGTAATTAGGCGACCACCTAAATTGGTGTGGCACCCAACCGCTGTCACAAAAGATTTGTTTGCAAATTAAATTTTGTTTCTGGTATAAATATCCCAAATATGAAAAGAAAAAAAAATCTACCGCGTCTTTTTTCGACATCACAGTTTTATTAATTCCTAATCCAATTACAAAGGGCAATCACATCTTGGACCTAAGTATGATTATTACATTCCTTTTACTTTTCATTTCAATAAAATCTCAGCCACTCAGAATGAGTCTCCACCCTCCCAGCGGGCGTCCAAGCTCGGTGGGAACGGTCATCAATGGCAGGAACCCAGGCAGGAAACCCAAGTCACCTGACCGGCTTCGCGCTCAGGTGGAGACCCTACGACTCCTCATCGTGGTTGAGGGTGTTCCGAGTTTACGGTTGAAACTCGGCGATCAGCCTATAGAAATGATCCTATGAAGCATGATCTTAGTCTCACAATGCTCACGGAAAGCAACCGGTATGCGGTTGGGGTAGGTGATAGGGCCGGTGAGTCAAATTATTCTTTCAAAATATTTTGCTTCAATTTAATAAAATGGTGTTTTAAATATCTACCTTACAAATTATAATTTATACTTCTCACGAACTCTTTTTTGATTGTTATGTTTATTTAAAGTTAAAATTAATAAATAAAGGTTTGAAGACGAAGAAGTGACGCGTTTCGGTCGAATGGCTGCTCGCGGCGTTGGAACGAGCCGCGGCAGTCTCGCAACACTGTGCCCGGTGCTGATAAGATGGCGGCCGACATACGAAAGAAGGTTTCAAAGCCGTCCGCCCCCAAGGGCAAATTCGGCTCCTCAGTAGCCATGATGAGGTGGAGAATGCTTGCAAAAGTGAGTACTGACCACCCTCGATCCCGCGGTACCGTATTCCCTGCGTTGCATTTGGCAAATGGAGACAAAACGGGCGTGGAAAAACGAAGGCTGCGCGATGCGGGATGCTGCCTCTCTTTTTCTCTCTCTCTCTCTCTCTCTCGCTCTCTTCTGCGTATTGCTCTCTCCTCGTTTCTCTGTTGCGACATTGAAAAATCTCCGCAGTGTTTTTGATAGACTCGCTAAACGAGGTTCATTTCTGCTACGCATGGGTGCGGCATCAAATCGGAATTCGATCATTTCTAGACGAGGGGCTAGGTTTCGAAAATCACCGTGGTTCTGTCAGTTTCGAAATTTTGCACCCGGATCGTTCTCCCCGCTTCCTCATCTCTCTGCTCCGGCGTCCATCGCGAAGATGCGCTGCGATCTTGAGTTCGACTTGGCAGCGGTCTTTGTTATGGCGCAATGAGCCGTTATTTTAAACCCGTCAGCGACGGCAGCCAGCCGCTTTTCGAAATTAAATGGCTCTAGCGGCAGCCCGCGGTTTTGCAAGCAGATAGAGCAGCGACATGTAGAGTACAGTTACCGGGTGATCAAATAAACCTTTTCCACGCTCTTGTGTCTTGCGTCAAGATCTACATTTGACTGGCCGAACCTTCAGATAGTCCCCGTGCATTTGTTCGGAATTAACGCGACAATATCTACGTTTATTTCTTTATAGATAGGTCCTAGGTACTTTCACACCAGCATGCACTTGGAAGAGAAAAATATATTGTAACATTTGCTAACATAACTTATATTAAAAAAAAAAAAAAAAACATTTTGACAATTCCTTTTGTTCATGAGCTTGAAATGTTCCTTTTTAATATGCCTTCTCACGGCCGCTGAATAGAAAAATAGTTGTAGTTATTTGATTTGTAATCTCAGAAATAGATGTCTTTGAAAACCAAAAATAAATTTGTGCGGGCACCTGTCGTCATCTCCCCAGGCAGGTGATCGTTCTTGGTCAGTCCCATTCTTGCTGAGAAAGAACAGATTCTGTGGTGTGAAATGTAGGCTGTAGAATGTACGCACTCAGCAGCAAGGTCACCATAATGATCACTTATGTGATGGCAGTGCAATTCATGTACAGCGTGTTTATGTTCAGCTCCATGTCTTTGAGAGCTCTGTCAGCTGCCATTTTCCCACAGAAAATTGTAGAAAATCATTTACAACTTTTTAATAAGGTAAATAGTTAGTTCTGAAACATTATTGCCTGGTTTAAACAACTAGTGCTACATTTGGGCTTGGGATGAGCGTTCTGCGATGCATAGTTAATAGTTTATTTTTGCGTGAAAAAAAAAAGCTTGTCAATTTTTTGGAGGAACACCTTGTATGTATGGTAAACAATCTCACTGCCAGCAAAAAAAGGAGGTCTTCAATCTCCTGATATATTTTACTGAAATAATTTCCAAATTTGTAACGATTTGTAACTTTTTTTCTGAGCAGTTTCGTGACGTCAAAGTTCCTAGGGTACATTGCCAACCCAAAAGGGTGGCTTGGGTTTGACAGCTGCTTTCTGACTAAGGAGATTATATAGATTTGCTGGAGATGTACAAAGTGACTAGCACTAACTTTGTACATCTTTGCACAGTGTAGGAGCCAACCATGTGCTCCTATTCAAGCTGCATATACCATGATGTCTAGCGTTGGGAAATTGATAGATTAAGCTACCGATTATACGATTAGTGCTTTAATCACGATTAAATTTTTTAACTGGTTCATCGGTCAAATTTTGACGAGCTCAAATAAAGTAGAAATTAAACACTTCCACCACGCATAGGTGGACGAGCGAGTATGAGGGCAAACTGTATGTCAAACAAGAAAGAAACTATTGGCGAGATTTGTAACTCTAGACAAGTGCAAAAGGTTGCACGTGTCTGGGCCACTTCAGCGCTGTTCGAGTGACCGTTTAGTGCAGCAGAGACGACTGTGAACAATCAAAGAAGGCTGCTCTTGCTGGAGAATACCAAATAACCTCTTTGCCGCATGCAGCTGAAGTAACAATCTGTGAGGCTGATTCATAATCCAAGTTGTACATTGTGCCTTTTATCACAAATTCAGCAGAGGCAAACAAAATATATTAATTCTGAATTTCTTAATGTTATGCATAAAAATAAACGAGACCAATTAATCGATTAATTAGTCGATTAATTGGGTTAAAATTTTTAATCGACGTCCAGCCGTAATGATGTCTGTTCAGATATCCTTTTAAACTGGACAAATCGGCATCTGTCATGTCTTTCGTGATGTACGTTAAAGATTCCAGGCTAGCGGTTGTACTGCACTGGACAAATTTCTCATCTACAGCTGGGAGACAAGTCGTCCGTTGAGGCAGACTAAGCTCTGTGCTGTATAAGCATACACACTCCCTACTTTTTTTTTTATTGTCATGTCTTCTGCTTTTGCCAGGATGGTGGCATGCCCCATTCATTAAGATGGTGTGACATTATCCGCTAGGTGCGAGCTGGCTTCACTTGAAGAGAGCCGTCCATAGTCTACTTATTTTTGTGTCCTTTTTCTCATGTTCACAGAAACAAAAGAAAAAGAACAAGTGCTCAGGATGTAATTATCGAAAGTATAAAACTCGAGCTTTCAGAAAATCGGGTAATCAGAAAAACAATGAATCTAATTTTTAAGAGGCTTTATGGTATATCTAACCTGGAAGCTTATTGTAATCTCATTGCATTTTCTCGGGCCTTTACATCAATATTGATATACCACCTTTCAGGTCTTTGATACCTACATATTTTGATGACTAGAGAATTCTTTAATTCTAGGAGTATACTTTTTTAAAGTTCTGAGCATTGTCATAAGCTTGCATTGCGGATTTCATAAACCTCCTCTTTACAGAATTTTTTTTTACTTTTTGAGCACCATCATTAGCCAAGTTCTGTAAGATCCTAAGCTGTTTCATTTTATGGATTTCAAGAGATTCCATTGCCGCTGCGCCATTGAAACCTTAATTTTATCTTATTAAGAGATTCCATGACATTTGCAATATGCTTTCACTGTATTCGCGACTCCAGCAAAACGGACACCACCAAGCAGGAAAGCCGTGAACCAGCCGGAACAGGTCGCTTTGCGCCCCTCCGCGTCTCTGGTGGCTTTTGCGGACGCGTGTTGTCGGCATGGTGGCGACCAATGTGATTTGACGAAGGTCCGAAAATTTCTCAAGTTTGCCTGAGTGTTCATTAGTGTGGTGAAGCCTCAGTAGATTGTTTCCTTCCATCACGTGTTTGAAAGTCCGTTTACTCCACAACACACGGTCGCATGCTTTCGATTTCTTAGATGGGGAGGAATCATGAAAAAATGTTTTGATTTCTTGTCTGTCTCGAATCACATTCAAAGTGACGACTACTTGGTAACTGATAGGTGGTTTCTTTATAAGGATGTAGAACAGTGGACTGAGGACGACAGACAAGGTGTTTCACTGGAGGGAACACCAATGTTGCAGTCAAGTGAATGGGAACGTTCAGTAGCTGCTTTTCTTGAGTTTGGTTGTGTTTCATTAGCTTCAAGTTTGAGCCACCCACGCCTGTCGGTGCATTGGCTATTCATCTTGGCTCCTTTTCGCCGAAAAAGCCTCTGGACCACATTGAAGGAGTTGGGCTGATTTTGCAATTACTTGATTCCGGAAAACCTGCTCACTGCATACGATTAATGAGGGAAATTGTCTGCTTCCAAAAGGTGGGGGACACGTCTCGAAAAGTTAGAAGCTGTCACGGCATTATGATATATCGCACCTCCAATATTTATATCATAACCCCGTTGAAGCCAGCAGCAATATACATCTACATTGCTCAGGTTGCCCGACCACAAAAAATGCTCATTTTCTCCGTTCAAAATTCGAAGTCAAGTTCAATGCCCCGAGAGGTTCTGCGTATATCTCCGATGAGGACTCTTTTCAGTTTGTCCGCATTCGTCTCCGTGCTATCGGTTAGAACCATTTGGCTGAGTTTAAGTAGTATCTCTCTGTCTGACAAATATACTTTTATTCAGCAGTTCACCTAATAGCTAGTCAACTAAGCTTCAACCCAAAGAATATACTAATATCGCTTTAGTGGGACATAGTATGTAATACCCTATAATATATAACCCGCTTATCAAATTGACTTCTCGATTGCTACTAAAACCTGAATTGAGATTCGAGTATCAGCTGCTTAGTGAGGCGCCAGCGGGTTAACACACTCCTTGGCTCAAGAAGCATTTGCTTAATTTTTGTAATTTTTCTGCAGTTTGTGTTGTTGACCGAGCAGATGACTGGAGCTGTTCCTTAGACGCGGATACGCACAAAAGCTCGATTTCGCGGACAGATAAGTCGCATGGTCGAGGCATGCGAGTCAGCTGAAAATTACTCTCGGTGGAACAATTCTGTAGTCATCGCCACTTTCCTTAGCTGATCAAAACTGATTAGAGTCTATTACCGTCTCTTCGGAGCCCATAGTTTCGGTTTTGAACGAAATCTCAGAAACGAAAGTTTCACATCAAAAGAACAAAAAACACCGGGAAAACAAATCTATGCTCTGCAAGTTTTTGTGCACCAGCTACACTTAACTGTCTCAGTTCAGATACCTATAAAATTGGGCATTAAACGAAAGAAAATCTGTTAAATTGAATGCGCCACCCGTTCAGGCGACCCGGCCAAGCCGACGCGACCTGTTCCCAGCCGCCATGTTTGTTTTGTGGTGGCGCTCCCTATAGGTCGCTGGAGTTGCGAATACCTTGGCTCTCACTCGAGGTAACTACATGTTTATAGAGTTAAAAAACAAAGTTTGCTAACCCCTCCACTAGACCTGCACCGAACGTTACTTTACCGTATATGTTTGAAATGTAGCTTCGTTTAGCCGAAGTCAAGTAAAACGACATGAAAAAACGTAAGAACAAATTGGCTTCCACCTGAAATGGAGCGCAACTTGCACCCCTACGTGACTGGTGGTTGCTGGAAAAATGCGCCTGATCGGGGATTTAATCTTAACTTCTCCAAGACTTACAGAGTGCTTTACCAACTGATCAAACTAGGAGCTGGCAGTCAGTAGAGAAAACATATACTAACAGTTGTCACCATTCTTAAATAACCGGTGTAATTGTATGAGCAGACGTTAATGATCTGATATAGTGATTTATAGGAAAAGTCCCAAAGCTGCAGAGATTTATGTAAGAGTAAGGCTCTACTGACTGCTAGCTCATTAGCTTAGTTGGTAAAGCACTCCGCCAGTTTAGGAGAAGTTCTGGGATTGAATCCTGGCACAGGCAGACTTTTTCAGTGGCCACCAGTTGCACTCAATTTCAGGTGGAAGACATTTTATTCTTACATAAATCCTCTCCACCTTGGGGACTTCCCTTAAAAATCGTTTTATATCAAAGTCTTGAAATGAGAATGAAACTGCTTCTCTCACAGGCGCTTCACGAGGGACGGATAAGTCATGCTGACCTATTTTGTGCCTCGATGAGACGCTTTGGAGCGTTTCGCCTCCTCGACATCACCCATATCAAGAGTCGGAAGACGGACGAAGACGACGACGACGACGGCATGTGGTTTGAGTGCGTCTATCCCAAAAAGGAGCCCGAGTTTCGCCTTAAGATCAGGTGGGTCCCTTCGTTTGGCATCTGACGAAGCAAAAGGTTTCGTTTTAGCCTTTTTCCAAAGTAGCTTTATAAAAAAGTTGCCATGCCTCGAGGTTTGCAAGACCATTGTTAAGGGGAGGCACGGCCTAGGAATCGCAATTTTTTCAAAAAAGTCACATTTTTGGAAAATAGGCTGACCAGCTTTTACAACTCATAAAGAATGCTGTCCAAAAATTTTATTCCTGTAAGTAAAGTATTTACTCCGAAATAAATTATTTTCGATGTGCTGGCGGCCGCACGTGCGCGCCGACGACGCAGCCGATTACGAAAATGTGCCATTTTCAAAGCGCACTCCCTCCGCGTTTCTTAGGACTAGTATGGACAGGCCCCCCTCGTTGGAATGTGCGTCTCGCCCTCTTTCGTTCTGTTCGCAGCATTGTTCGCGATATCGCGCTCACAGACCGTAAAATCCCGTAAAAAACATACCTAGCTGTGCACGCTCTTATTGGTCAAGCTGGCGAAACAAGAGCTCTGATTCGCTAGGACGAGCGACGTAACGTGGCTCGTCCTTGCGAATCAGGAAGCTCTGTTCGAAATTGGCATAGAGCCAGGGAGCTACCAAGCGTCATACGGAGAGAGGGCCACCAAGATGAAGGTTGCGAAGGCCCAAGTGAAAGCGCTCGAGTTCTCCAAGATGTCCCACAAAAAAAGGAAGATGGAAGCTGTGGCCAAGGCACAGAGGGACCATGCAGAGGAAGGAGTGACATATGCCCCTGGAGCATTTTAGATGAAATGGCAAGCCCCATTTAAACTAAAACGCTGTTCGAACTTTCAAACCTGTTTTTCTCAGCTTCATGTTTTCACCATTTTTTCACAGCTCTAAAACTATTGTTCGATGAGTTAAGCGCCCCCAAGTCTAATGTATGGCTTTTTTGGCATGAAATTTACTGGAGAACTCGGCTATGCACTTACTTTTTGCAAATTGTTATTTCTTCACACAAAAATGTTGACGTTTGTGAAACAAGAAAAAAATTAAAAATTCATACCATTATTGAAAGTTAATTTTTACATGAAATATGGCCTTAAAAATTATTTCAAGCGTACTACCGATTAGTTTAGTCATTCAGCGTTATACCCCAACAAAGAAATTGTGCCTTTTTATTCATATTTTGAAACGATAGTTTTTCCCTTTGGCACGGCTACATGTACATTTTTTTCAACGAATAAGGCTGTAACTTGTCAAAAAATAAACCTTTTAAGTTGAAAGTTGGTGTAGCCTTCTAAGTTTTGACGTTTAACATACCCTAAAAATTTCATTGACCTGGCACAAATACTTAAAAATTAGACCCTCCAAGGGAGTGCCTCCCCTTAAAATTTCTAGCGTTGTTTCGTAAGGTAACTTCGTAGGTTATACTTAGGGTAGCAGCAAAACAAACTTGATTGGTTGCTACCGAACAATGAATTTTGCGAACTCCAGCGACTGAGCATGTTTACACCATTATGGAATTAGTGTTTTTAAAGGTTGCAGTGCGCACGTTTTTCGCTGTCAAGAATTCTGGAATACGGATAGCTGCCAAAATGTCCTACTGGCTTATCGAATCCCCCTTCGCCACATCTCCTAAGATTTCTTGGGAATGTATAAAACATATTAGAGAAGCATACACTACTTTTAGATGTTGAGAAGAGGGAAGCCCATTTCTTATCTTTGTTTTCTTGGCCTCTAGTTTACTCAGGAAATACGTCAGATCAGGAAAATCTTGAAAATATACCACAGCAGCATTCCTGCCATAGTTGGAAATTCGGCTCTGTAGTATCACACAATTTTGTAACAATAATATAATTTGGGAAACCCTTTCCTTCCTCCCGCTGTTTTGTGGAATGAGTGCAAGAAAAGAGGGAGTTACACTGCTAACTGTGCAAAAATACACAGCCCTAAGTTTTGCATGTCTGTGCAGGGCTTTCACGCGGGGGTACTAACCCTTTGACGGTCGTTGCCGTACATGTATGGCGGTGATTACTCATTTGAAAGTGCCCAACTAAACATGAAATTCTGCAGGAGGTCTTGCTATTTGTTTTGTCTTTGGCGAGCTATCAACATTATATTTGGACATTGTTTCACATTGCCGAGCTATTTATATTTTTCAAATTAAGCACTCTGTGCACGTGATGCTTACTTTGCATAGCAGCCGCTCTGGCGGTAGTGCCCATGGGAGAACTCGCTTTTTCGATTCAGACTTCCAACGCTTTTCGGAAATAAGTTTAGAGGATGAGAGCTCATCATCCGACAGAGAAGCTCTGTAAAGTACCTTCGGTTAGGAATCTGAAGCAGCTGGAATGTTGTGGAAGCGATCGTACCAAAATGAAACCAAATGGAAGAAACGTGACAGCTTTTCGCTTTCACTATTTCCTGCTAGGGAATTAAGAAATTTTCCTGCTAGGGAATTAAGAAAAAAAAAACATGTGCATTGACCCTTTCTTTATACTATTCCTTTGAAGACAAAACCCGCGGCCACTGGAAAAACATCTTTTCGGAAAAAAAAAAAACTCAACCATCAAAGGGCTAAGCACTATTTCGTCCTGGTCCGCACTTGGAGTTCATTTAAAGGCTTTCATACAAAGCAAACTTCAGCTTGACTGGAAACCTGTTTTCTTCTATCCCCTTTTGTTCACATCCTTCCCTAACTCTTTCCCTCACAAATGCTGCGGTTCCAAAATTTAAACCCCACTTTCAGACAAAAAGGGATAAACATTTTTGGGACGGCTGGTGACGAAAAAACGAAAACGAAAGAGAGACCAACACAATATGGTCGACACGATCGAGCAATAGGATACAAAATTTTGTCTGCATTCTCTCTTTTATTTTCGTATTCTAGGAATAACCTTTTACTTTCTTCGACGGAGAGGGAAAAGGGGGGGAGGGTTTTCATGTTTGGATTTATGTGTTGGCCGTTGTTTAAAATGCTCTCCTTGCTTTCTCTTGTTTCTAGGGCACTGCCTGACAGAATCTCCCTAACCGACATCAAGGGCTTCGATAACACAGGCAACGTCTGTGAGTCCCTCCTCCGCTGCAAACTTATACTCCGCTTCAACTATTCTGTGCTACGTTGCCAAGGCTAGATAGCTTCCACACGGCTGCACCCCCCCCCCCCCAAGGGGCGGATCCAAGGGGGAGGCAACGGGGCCGGCCGTCCTCCCCAAACGAAGACGACCCCCCCCCCCCCTACCCCCTTCTCGGAGGGCAATTTGACATGGGTGCACAAGAAAGAATGGAAGAATAGTATCCCTACAAATTTTCCACCCCCCCCCCCAAAACGGAGTTCTGGATCCGCCCTTGACCCCCCCCCCCCCCCCCCCCAATGGTGCAAGAGCATGTGACTGATCTGGCATCCCAATTGCATGTGCTAATGCTACACTAGCTTTGACATGGTAGCACCAAACAGTATGGGTGGTGTTTAGTAAGTGCCATATTTGAGTGCGCTATTCACATCACCTGCTTAGAATTTTCGAGAAGAGCTGAAGTATTGGTGATGTAAAATGCCCATTGTGGAAGCAGCGTGGAGGCTCATTGTAAGCTCGTGCTCAGCAACAACAAACTCAACTATAGCCGCTAGTGAATACCACCTTTAGAGGGACCCTTGTAACTTCTGATTTTTGTGTGGATACACAATTAATGGTACACATTTTTTTTTACACAAGCAGTAAGTCCGTTGTCACGATTCTTTGAGATCTCTGCTCTGGAAACTATGCCAGTCTCTGCCCCGGTAACATTTTGCTGCCATAGATGCCGCTTCTGTTTCCAAGGGGCACTACTGATTGTGAAAAATTTACAAAAAAAACCAAGTAGTCTTAGATGTAAAACTTATCTGTTGGCCTTAGAATCTATTCATGACCAGAATGTTGAACCAAAATTTTTATTGGTTTGATTTGGGTCTGGGTTTGGGCAGTAAAAATAACAGCTCAAACCAGTTTGAACCAATAAATTGATCATATATTTTCCCCATTGTTTCTGCCATAAAATTAGTAACTGTGCTATATAGTTTTTTATTGTTTGTACAATCCACTTTTATTTTCAGGTACCAAAAATAAGAAATTGCATTATTTAATTTCGATAAAGCAGTAAAAGAAATTCTACATTAACTTACAAAACGTTGTGCTCATACTGCTCAACATCCATTTGTTTAACTCACTGAGAAATATTTTCCCTGAATCAAAAGGTTGTCACAAAGTGTGGTGTTCGCCTAATATACCCGTGATTGGTACATTTTTGCGTTGAATTATAGTTGTAGTTGTGTACTTGAACTAAGGAATTAATTACAGTGCATAAAATCATGGAATGGGTGCATCATCATCATATGTATTGTGAAATATAGTTTACGAAATATGTTTCATAATATATATGATAACGATGCAACTGAGCTAAAAACAATAATATTTGCAAAATCTCACAAAAGTTTTAGCACAAGCCCTTTCAGTCTACCTTTTATAGAAACAGTAAGCGGCAATCACAACACTTGTTTTCCTGACCAACATTGTGTACACTTAGCTCCGTGACGCAGGCGAAGAATCATGCAGAAAGGACTGATAAAAATTGTTTATTATAATCTACACACATCTTCGTACTCAGATTGAATCTGACCTAAAATAGCGTGTATTCAAGTGAACATTTTTTTATACAGGATAAACTGGCATAGCCTGGCTGTTGAGATTTGTTCTTGACAAGATGCCAGTCGATTCAATTTGCAAATACGCATCACCCTTGCTAATTGATGATTTTTCGTGAAATATAACAAAGTAGTATCTCATGCTCTACTCGACATGGCAGCTACCTAGTTGGTCACTTTCTGACAGCCTGCATGCATAAAGGCCCGTTCACATACTTTCAACCGGGTAGGACTGGCTGAGACAACACCAGTTTTTAAGTGTCGTGCAACAGCTTAGGACCGGATGTGTTGCTGAAGAGCAGGTCCTAAGCCGTGACAAGAGGCTTAAAAACCTGTCTTGTCTCAGCTGGTCCTACTCAGTTGCAAGTGGTGTTTAGTAAGTGCCATATTTGAGTGCGCTATTCACATCACCTGCTTAGAATTTTCGAGAAGAGCTGAAGTATTGGTGATGTAAAATGCCCATTGTGCCACACGCCCCTGTGTACTTTGTTTTTGTCCAACCTGCAGACACATAAAATTGATGTTCATCACATAAACGAGGCAATAACAGAACTTTGTTTGTTTGAAAAGTTATTTGTGTTTCAGGAACAGATACTAGTTACTTAAATCAGCTTCAAAATCAAAAATTTGTTTAAGGTTCTTTCAAATCACTTATGCACGTGCTTATTGAGGATGAAAACATTAGAAAAGATTTGCAGAGCATTTTTCAGATAATTGGGAGTATGTCTTTTTTATGATTTATATCTTTAACGTGATCGAACCTTCATTTATGTTTTCAAGTCTTCAGTCAGTAATTAAATATGTTTTTATTATCATCAATAAATTTGAGTATATGAAGTTCACATAACTGCTTGAGACCGGCACAGGAGGGCGATACTTGAAAATACGCCTGCTGTTGAGCGCCGATCTGCGGAAACATATTTTGTTTGCGTTCTGTTCGACAGTGAAACACTGGGTCGAGGGGTATGCCAAAAAGGACTTTGTGCTAACATGATAGATCTGGAGGCAAAGACACGAAGTGTGAAGAGAGTGATAATAAATGGTATTCTTCAAAAAAATAAAAGAATCTGATATACAATGCCTTACTGATCTGGAGGCAAAGACACGAAGTGTGAAGAGAGTGATAATAAATGGTATTCTTAAAAAAAATAAAAGAATCTGATATACAATGCCTTACTGCAAAAATAAGTACAGAGATGTAATGATATTCCTAATTACACATAAATAGCATGAAGGACGGGCAAAGATTCTTATAATCTTAACATAAATTATATTTGGGCATCGGCTTGCATGAACTGGAAACTTTGCAAAGTACTGCCTCCGAAGGCTAATGCTATATTCACAATGCGGTGCTTTATCTATCATATGCGCTCTAACATTTTATTAGGCTGCCGTAGGTCATCTCGAGACTGTATATATACTGCACAACTTCACTATTTGGACATCTACTTTTGCTAGTGTTGTGAGCATTGCATCAACTTGTCTGCAGTGAAAGCTCTCTCATGGTACAACTGAAAACTTCCAGGCTGAATGTGTCAAGGGCTGTGCCATGATGTAAGAGGCACGACCAGGTGTCAAACATGCAATTGACTAAGGCGCGAGACACATGGACAACAAAATGTCTGACAGGTTTTATAATACAGTGTCCAAATCTCACCAGGTGGCGGCCAATCACGGCGTCATCATGCATGTCTCCCCTCTTAACGCACGCCCAATGTCTGTACTGTCAGTGAGCGTTTTCACGAGTCCAAACTATTCGCTGTTTCCCTTTCTCCTCTCTGGGACTCACACATTGCTAGCCTGTTCCAATTGATCAGCCACTTCGTTTCCATCAAGGGGCTGTTTGAATGTACACCTATGAGGTCATGCAAAGAAACATGCATGCTTTTTGTTCTTGTGGACTGAATTTGCCTGCAACGTTTGATGTATAATGCGAGTTCCAGAAAGATGTTTTTGGTATTTACATTTATATCTTTCAGTATGTAACTACCTTCGTTGACCCGGCTTCTATCCAAGTTTGGACCCAGTCGAGAATGTTAAATTAACAAGTTTTAATGAACTAATGTAATGTTAAATTATCAGACTTTAATTGATTAATGTAATGTTAAATTAACAACCTGTAATTAAGCAAAATTAGTGTTGTATTAAAATGTAGTTACTTAAAGTGAATGGAAATAGAAATTAACAAGCTGCAATATATAAAGTTAATGTCAAATTAACAAGCTTTAATTAAGTGTTTGTTGTTCTTCCCTCAAGGTATCTGGCCGTCTGAAGAGGTCCTCGCCTACTATTGTATGAAGAACAAGGAGGTCTTTGTGTGAGTTGCATTCAATGCTCCTTCCTTATTTTCATAGTACTATACGGTACTCCTTATTTTTATAATTTTCACGATAGTTACTGAGGTTGCAAAACTTACTGGTGGCATGCAAGCATTCTTAACACAAGTCTGTGTTTTCTGAAATTTGCTAACTCGGAGACTGCAAACACAATGTGTCCTTCACATTAATTTGTTGCAATAGTTCTGTTAGAGCATTTATAAAGATTGTGAGTGACAGGTGTAATCTTTCCCCCCCCTTTTTTTTTTCCAGGGAGAAAAATGTGTGTGAACTTGGTGGCGGTATGACATGCCTAGCAGGTTTCGTTGTAAGTAGAAGACTCCACTTGAGACCTTTGTGCATTAGACTCAAAATAGCATGTGAAGCCAAGTCAGTAAACATTTCTTGCAACTCTTTGTCCATAATACATGTTCTAACATTCTAAATGTTAAAAGTGCCTTCCATCAGAAGTTTGAATCAAAGCAGAGTGAATGCTGAATTGACACATTTGTCCTCGATCCAAAATTAACCACTAGCCATGTGACCAGAATTCAATTCATAGCATGACGCCTTTCTTTACACTGCCTTCATTTGCAGTTGTATCTTTTAGAGCGCAGCTCTTAGGGGCCCGTTTCCGACTTGAACGGCGTCGCCGTCGCCGTCGGCGTCGCCGTCGGCGTAACTGCGCGGTGCATCATGGGAAATGTCCCATAATGCACCGCGCGAGCCCCCCACCGGGGTCACGTGACCTCGTGGAGGGTCACGTGACCCCCCGAAGTCACGTGACTCCCCTGAGGTCACGTGACCCCTCCTCGAGGTCACGTGACCCCTCCTCGAGGTCACGTGACCCCCGCCGATGTCGCGTGACCCCCCGATGACGTCATCGTCACTGATGACGTCACCGGCATCCACATCGTCATCGTCATCATCACTGACGACGTCATCGGCATCCACATCGTCATCGTCATCATCACTGATGACGTCATCGGCATCCACATCGTCATCGTCATCATCACTGATGACGTCACCGGCATCCACATCGTCATCGTCATCATCACTAATGACGTCACCGGCATCCACATCATCATCGTCATCATCACTGATGACGTCACCGGCATCCACATCGTCATCGTCATCATGACTGGTGACGTCACCGGCATCCATATTGTCATCGTCATCATCACTGATGACGTCACCGGCATCCACATCGTCATCATCACTGATGACGTCACCGGCATCCACATCGTCATCGTCATCATCACTGACGACGTCACCGGCATCCACATCGTCATCGTCATCATCACTGATGACGTCACCGGCATCCGCATCGTTATCGTCATCATCACTGATGACGTTACCGACATCCGCATTGTCATCGTCATCGTCATCATCACTGATGACGTCATCAGTGACGTCACTGATATCGTCACCGGCATCCGCATCGTCATCGTCATCATCACTGATGACGTCATCAGCGACGTCACTGATGACGTCACCGACAATCGCATCGTCATCGTCATCATCACTGGTGAAGTCATCAGTGACGTCACTAATGACGTCATCGGTACCCGCATCGTCATCGTCACTGATGACGTCATCAGGGACGTCAGTGATGACATCATCGGCATCGGGGGTCACGTGACCCCCCCCCCCCTGGTTAGTTTAACCCCCCCCCCCAGTGCCCTTCCCTCCTCCTCCTCAAGAGCTGCGCTCCAATTCGGCGTTACAGGGAGTTGTAAGCGGCTTTCATTTTTTTATAGTTACTTCCAAAGAGTGTTTCAATTACACAGGAAATATGGCAAGATTGTAGTTCACAGCCATTGACAAACTCATGAAACTAAGTAGCACTTTTTTTTTAAAAGTTGGGTACCCGAACACCGCTGACTCCCCTAGAGTTTTCAGGAACAGGGATCACAGACTTGTTCACTTGTGCAGAGGTGTGCCTTACGAAATAAAACACATTGCTTACTGTATTTCCTCACACATATAGCATGCACACCTGTTCATGAAAGTGGCTTGTAGGTTTACTTCCCTGTGGAGTAGGTGAGGGCTGACCATTGGGATTTGTGTAAAGAAACCAGCAATTAAGGAGACACAAAGAGCATTATGAATTTGACTCGAAACAGCAAGCAGAACGGGGAAGGTCTAACCTTGATATGTACATGCTTAAATTCCCAGTGTTGCTTGCAGTTATACTCTGTTTCACCTTGTGTTGTACCGCAGGAAAGGCTACAAGCGCGAGCTCCTTGCTCTAGGGCATACCTCGGCGGCACAAGCTCTCGTGCCCCAAGGGCAGCTGCCAACGCTATGAGCTCGCGCTTGTAGCCTTGCGGTACAACATAAGGTGAAACGGAGTATAGACATGCCTCCTTTATGGCTGATCACCTTCTGCAAAGTGCAGCGATTGGCTCCCACAAGCAGTGCACAAAGTAACCATGCAAGCCTCCTTTATAAACAAGAGTAGGCTATGGGTGTGGAAATGTGGTTATACTGTAAACGGCTTAATTTTCGTGAAGACCTAATTTTCGCGAATTGCCTACAATTCGCCAAAAATAGGTTACGCGAACAATTCCGGTAAAATGTAAACACATTAGAATATATATTATGAGATCCCACCGCATCGCGAAAATGAGATCCCACAAAATATTCTAAAACTTCAGCTTTGACCTAAATTGCAAAATATTGAGCCCGCGAAAAATAAGTCGTCTACAGTATTCAAATTTGGGCTAAAAAGGACCTTACAAATGCCTCAAATAACTTTTAGCATTCCTGTATACCACTGAAGTTAAAATGGCATCATATTCATCAATCTTTCGTGTTCCTTTAAGACAGGGATCTCAAACTCATTTGAGTGCGAGGGCCAGATAGCCCACACCAAAAAAAAAAAAATAGAGGGCTAACAAAAAAAGAGGGAGGGGGAGTGAGAAACTTGCGTTTTAGAATAAAAAAAAAAAAAACTGTTTTTCATTTTGCGAAGTAACAGAGTCTTTCAGTAGCACATTTGAGATTTTCTAGAGAAGGGACCTCATGCTTTGCCTTTTGTAGGTCAATCCTTAGCTTTGATTTCCCAATGTGAATACTTTAGATCCAACCCTGATGTGATGACAAAATTTAAAATTACATCGCACCGCTAACTTGCTTGCTATTTTCAGTGGAATAAAAGAGCAAGCCCACTCTCGTTGCCGTGTTGCTCAGTAATTAAATTCAACATTGCAAAAAAAACACAAAAACTTAATGCGACGGTTTTTGCTTGCCTCCTGATTTTTATGGGAGCATTATTAGGCAATTCTTGTGTTTTAATTATATTTTTCAACTCCTGGGAACCCAAGCTTATAGCTCAATCTTTTGAAGTTTGAGCAAGAGTTTGTGCAGCCAAAGTGCGTCCTAATGAGCTCACTCTTATAGCATAGTAGTGGGATTTTCGTATAGGTGATGAACACAAGAAAGAGCTCAAAAGCAAAATTTAATGTGAAACAGTACTGAGTCTATAATGGAATAAAAAAGATATGTGAATGCGTAATAAGTGCAGAGCTACGTTTTAAGTGTAAATAAACTTGCGACGTGAGACCATTTTTTATGACGCATATAGCGCTTGAAACATGGGAACAAAGGTTCGCAGCCGCTTGATGCTTGGGGGCCGCATCCCAGCAAATCGCGGGCTGTATGCGGCCTGTGGGCCACGTGTTTGAGGCCCCCGCTTTAAAGTCTTGATTTTGTTGTTTCATGTTTCTTGGATCAGTTTATTTTTCAACATTTTGTTCACAGGTTGCCGTTACAACAAAAGCCAAAGAAGTGTACCTGACCGATGGCAACAGCAAATCCGTGCAAAGTATCCTTTGAATGCTTCTCGCAGTCATTGACACTTGCGCCTCACAACGCTTCTTTGATATTGGAAAGCGCCGGTTTCATATTGGAGAGTGCTGGTCCCATATTGAAAGCAGCACTTGTGTATCGTAAGCAGAACGATGCTGTTTTCATGTGTTGGAAACTTTTGTATCGGGAACTATGTTTATTCCAAAAGTGCCTTTGTTTTCCTGAGTTGCAAAACAGATGTTCAAGTCATTCTCGATCGTAACATTGGTTCCTGGGGAAAGTGCAATGTGGTGGCAAGGTAAGTGACATTATTACTTGGGCAATAGAATGTTTTAAAGCCTCTATTTTGACTTTGCATAGTTAATGATAAGGACAACAATGAGATGAGGAAAACTTGGTAGCCATCAGTGTCTCAAGCCCTATGTCCAAAATAAAGTTAAAGCGAATTGCCATTGCCTACAAAAAGTGAAACAGTCATGGCGGTTGTTGAATTTTCAGGAACAAAAACATGCAAATTTCTCAACTTACTCAACCTATTCTGCAGAATGTGAAATGATTTTCAGTTGACAAATACCCTATAAAGCAATATTCCAATTTAGCTCAGAGGAAACTACAATTGTAAGCCACTGTAGGAGGTAATGTAGAAAAATTTGATCAACAATAATTTAAAGCACTTAGCTATAGGGATACAAAAGAAACAGCTTTTTAAGTATATTGAACATAGAATGCCTTGGCTTGCCTTTGAAAAGATCCTTTTTTACAAAGAGAAACTACAAGCAATTTCTGAACTTTAATTCAGAAAAACTGCTTTCTACATCTGACAGCTTTTATGTGGAACACTATCAATGTTTGTACCAATTATTTCAAAAGAATTCCAAGATTTAAAGCATCATATAATCTAGTCCTTGTTTTCAAAACTTTTTTTCAGACGAATACGCTGGGACGAAAACGAAGATATCCACAATCTTACGGGGCGGTTCGACGTCATCATTGCAGCAGACTGGTGAGCAAAATGTTCGCACATGAGCAAGCTATGTCTTTGTGTGAAGCTGGGTTTTACCGTGGAAGACGCTAACCAAGATACCCATTTTATTAATTTTTCAGTCTCTTCTTCGACGATGGTCGGGTGCCCCTTGTGAATACCATTTGGAAACTGCTGCGTGACAGGGTAAGGGTGGCGACTTCCATCTTTCACGAAATTTCACACTAACCAGGACCTGAAGATGAGTTTTATGAAATCAGGGGATACAATATGTGACATTACAGTTTGGGAGGATTAACCTGCTTTAAATGCTCAGGTTATTGTTTATTGAATGGACCTTTTGCTAAATGGTTGAAGCACGAGAAGAAGGCTGGCATTATAGTCCTGCGTGCAGCATGTGCCAACTCCTACAGTTGTAAATTTTTAAAGCAAGAGCCTAAACCAAATTGCTGTTTTTATGGAGCAAAAAGATTTGCACAAAATAAGTTATTAAAGAAAAATGCCAGCTCATACTACTCGCAGAAGTACAATCCTGGACTGCTTCATGATATTTCTGCCACTTTGAAAATGTTATTGCACACTGCTCAGTTCTTACTTTCTTTTTCTTTTTTTTTTCAGTTTTTACAGTTACATTCAAGTTCTGTTGAACCATTTATTTGTATTGCTGTAGTTCTTCATAAATTGAAAATAGCCCATAATATTGTTGTGGCCCTTAAAAAAATTGTGCATTCAGTGGACATTGAAGCTTTCTTTTGGGGAAAAGGAAAGACTTCCTCTTCCCCAAACTTTGCAGGCAACCAGGAAAAATAGAGAGTTGTGCCCAAAGTGGTGCCATTTAGACAATCTGAAAGCTGCTAAAAATGTCATCTCAGCATTTCAAACAAACCAGATCCAGCAATTATTCAACCCGTGCTTCACGCTACGACCGTGTCCGTGCCAAATTACGTGTGCACATAATTTGGCATATCTGCCGTAACAGAAACCGCATCGCCAGAGACAGCACTTCCATCCAGCCTTCGAAGCCCAGGCGTGGCCCGTTCCTTATCATCACTTTTATAAGCTTATCAGACAGTTCTCAAACCCATCACATGGTGTCAGATGCGGGATTGAGACAACGAAGCCAACAGGAACGAAAAAAAGAAACGAGCGCACAGGACCGAAGACGGCATCCTCAAAAGTGAGTCAGTGTAGTTGCGATGGCGTAGGAAAATGAAAATGGCAGTGGACAATGGGCTCCAGCCTCCCCACCCTCTGGATGCTCCGTGTCTGGGCCCCAACGAGTGGGAAGACTGGCTTCAAACCTACCATTGGTACGCGTCCGCAGTGCAGCTCAACAAAAATACGCCGCAAGTGCAAGTCGCCAACTTTATGACCGCGATTGGGTCCTATGCACTAAAGATCTACAAGACGTTTGCGCTGAGTGAGGCAGAGAGCAAGGAAGTCGAAGTTCAGAGAACACTTACCGCCGAGTATCAACTCCGCCTATGAGCAGCTGAGCAACAAGAAAGCAAGAGCTTCACAGATTTCCTTACAACAGCGAGGTTGCAGGCGAACAAGAGCCAATTTGGAAACTTGTCCGATGAGCTTCTTTGAAGAAGAATCCCCCTGGGCATCTTGAATGATGATGTTCGCGAAAAACATCTTGGCGACTCGACCATCGACATGGAAAAGGCCATCCACTTCTGTTGAGCACTGAGAATGGACGACGAAAAGGTGAATGTCATTGAGAGGATTGGTGAGCCAAAGAATAAGGCGAAACTGTTGAAATTGCTAGGAAGCTACAGTGCCTGCAAAAATTTGTTCCGAACCTGGCAGAAAAGAACCGCAAGGCTAAGAAAACCTGCCAAACAAGACGTCGACTGGCTATGGACGAAGGAACAGAGCTCCGCTTTGGAAGAAATCAAAGAAGCTTTAAAAAAATCTCCAACACTGGCTTACTACGACGTGAGTGAAGACATGGCAGTCTCGGTTGGCACAAACTTGACTGCGCCAGGTGCGGTGCTCCTACAGAATGGAAAACCAGTGGCGTGTGCCTCAGCAGCACTGACTGCTGCACAAAAAAACCATCTGCAGATAAAAAAAGAGGCACTGGCCATCAGGTATGGCTGTAAAAAGTTTCATCACTACTTACAAGGAAGACCTCTGATGGGAGAAATGAACCACAAGCTTCTGGAAACAATCAGATAAAAGCCGGTAGTCTGCACTATTGCCTACTTCATCCGTGTCTTATTCCTGTAAAAAAAATGATAAGTGTGTTAGTTCCCTGACAAAAAGCATTCCATTCTGAATAATGAAACAATACAAATGTAAATTCGTGGATTTTTTATGGCAGTATTTATTGTTTTCTTGATTCATACTATTTTGATAGAAACAAAAATGTGTGTGACCACACTTCTTCGTTTCAAAAACTTTACGACCATAGTTTCCGAGAGGCTCTAGACCCTTATTGATCTGTAGTAACAGTTTTATATCCTTAAGCAGTGGGTGTTTGTGTCATCAAAGTTGGTCCCCATTGTCTCTCTTGGGCACAGCTACCTTGCCCGAAACTCGTGGGCAAAAGCAGCACACTGTCAGTAAAAATTGTCAAACGTTTTTCGGTGGCTAATGCCCGCGTATATTATTGTGATTTTGACAATCATACTGGGCTTGTCTGGTGATAACAAACGATTTTGAAAAACAAATCCTCGTATCGTCCGCAGCTGTGGACAATCAGCACAGTGAAGTATACCAACTCCTGTGCGGAGTGCAAGTTCATCTGCTTTTAGTACAGGGGATGTGTTGATGTCAGAACGCCGAGCTCTTATTGGCTGATTGAAAAAAACAGTTAAGATTAAGATTTTAATGGCGCAGCGGCAACGCAAAAAATAGTGGATAAAGCTCGAGACATCTAGCATTGAGACGTCTATCCACTATCCTTTCAATCAAAGCCAATCAAAGCTCGCTATCGTTCTGATGTCGCTGCAACTCCTGCGCTCCAACACAGCAGACGACTTGCTCTCCGCAAACATTTCTAATTCGCGGACTATGGTTCCGAAAACATGGTGTGCCGAAAAATGTGCTCACCAAACCAATGAAGCAACGTCTCACGCAGGGCCTTGCACTAATCCTGGCACCGAAGCGAGGCACCACATTCCAGCAGTTTGTAGACCTGGCTCTGGAGAAGTTTGAGGTGGAGATCATCGTCTCATATGACACCTACGTATGGGACCTTCACGACAAGGTGTGCTAGTCCTGATGCTCTGTTTTCCAGAATCCTGAATGCCCCAAGTCATAAAAGTGCCGTTTCCTGGGCCTTGAAAAGACTCAAAGTGTTTTCATTCATAATCGGGTAAAAGATGAATGTTGCTGGGCTCGGAATAGTGCCGTTTCAAACTGGTGCCGCGGCATTTCGAGTTGAAAACGAGCTTCAAGTAGTAATTACACTTTGTTTCTCCTTAAAACTCATTCAGTGATTTGAGGCTTCTTAGGACAGAGCGAATTGCAACCTCTTGTGATACCATACGATGAGAGAGCACGTTAGCACCATTTGTGAGGCGGCTGTGGAACTGCACTTCTCTAGAGCAGAGCTTTTGCAGTATTTGCGAGGTTAAATGTAAGTGCTGTCTACGAGAAACGGTCATTTATAACAGTGTCCGTAGCTTCTAGAGCCAGTAGCGAGAGTATGACTTGCAAAAAAAAAAGGAAATATATGAAAATTGCGAGGGTTCCGCGGCTGCCCAACAAAGGGTGTTGGTGCCTTCTCTCGTTGCAATAGATCACGGGAGGTTGTAAAGCACACGGTCGTATGCAGTGGCAAGCGTATGAACTAACCTTTACGACCGACCATAGGGGATGCTGCGAGTCATCAAAGCCATTTCGAGGCTGTGCGAGCGTGGTGCGTCCTTTGAGAAGGGTGCAGTGATGTGCGGGGCTCGTAGTGGCGCAATACCGTACGTTCTTAATGCCGGACCAACTGGGACGGTCCTGCGTCAGCGTCAGCTGCGGTCCATTGTAAAATGAGGCGGGGTATAGTGTGCATGCTCGAGCTGTCTACTGGCCTCGAAAACCCGAAGTAAAATATTTGGGGGTTTTACGTGCCAAACCAACGGCGGGCATCGAAAACCCGGAATTATTGGGAAATTTCAGTGTGTGTGGAAAAGTAATCATCAAGAAAGTTACCAAACATTTGTGTTGGCTAAATCGGAGAAAACGGGCGACGCGGGCGGCGGATCAACGCGTGACGAAGTGGGAGGGTGCGGTGTGCGATAGCGCGGACGGCCTTCGCACCGTGCAACGGTCACTTGAGGCACCGCTAGGAGGCGCAGGCTGCCGCCCGATTCTCCGGGTCAGACGAGAATGGCCACTGCAACCCCGTCCTCCGCATTTTCTTCTTTCACAAGGGTCATGCGATTTCATCAGAATATTCGGGGAAAGACCTGGGAAAGTTAGAGAATTTGTGAGAGGCGATTTGGTAGACACCCTGCGTACGTGCCGTCACTCCCCAGAGTTCGAGAAGTCTGCTTGTCCGCTTTCACAGACGGTTGAAATTAGAGACAAGTAGCAGAGAGACACAAATATAACGAAGCAAAGCTGAAGTATGCTTGTAATGCCAGTGCAGGCAGTTGAGGTACCGCCACTGACAAGATAATGGCGGTCGGGAGAAACCTCAGTTGTCCCGCACCCAGCGTGAGCTTCGTATCTTCGATAACGGTTTGGCGTTTTGCGAGTCTCGCGCGTGCATACGTACAGCCAAAGCATGGCGAAAAGCAACAAGCGCATGCTAAAGGCCGGGCGTTCGAAAGAGATTCTCTGGCGTTCTCACTTCGTCAGCGACTGTCGGCGACTTCCGCAAAATCAACAGCACCCATCGGCTGGAATAGTAAGCTAACGACGGGTTGGAGCTGAGCTAGTTGGATCATGGTTGGCAATAAAACCAGCTGAACATTTGAAGATAAATAGAGTTAAAAAGCAAGGAAAGGCTGGACTAAGAACTATATATTAAGGACCTCCTTCCTCCTCCTCCTCTGCCTTGTATCCCCTACACTCCAGTTTAAATTTCTAAAATTTCTGAAACTAGCCCTTAACAGCAGAGTAAGGGCTAGTTTCCCCAGGATCGTGTCCGTCCTCAAATAACCTGATGACACAGAACTCTGGACAGCTACCGCCATCTATGAGCGACGGTGGCAACAGTTTGAGAACTTCCACTCTGGCTTGCCGGCTTGCGGCCGGCCATTACTTCATTCCCACCATAGTACAGTTCCCACCATAGTTCATTCCCAGCGGTCTTTCTTCTTCACCAGAGTGGAAAAGCTGAAAGTTTTTTTTCTTTATCTTGAAGTGCCACGGTTGGGGCACTAACACAGTCATCTGCCTTTCCTTCCATGGCCAGCACCTCAAATACTGGAGGCACTGGTCATGGAGGGATAGGCCAATGACAGTGTTAGTGCCTCATTTGTGGTGCTTCAAGATGAAGAAAAAAATGTTTTTGCGGGGGACCATCGCTTCGGTGATATGAAGAAGTAGTTCCGCATTTTAGAAATTTGAACTGGAGTGTAGGGATTACAAAGTAGAGGAGCAGAAAGAAGGTCCTTAATAATATACAGTTGTTAGTCCAGCCTTTCCTTGCCTTTTTCTCTCTAATTATCTTCAAATGTTCGGCTGGTGCTATCTCTGCTAGTAAGCTTTCATGGCAGGTTTGCTTTATCGAGCAAATCAGATGTTGACAAGCACCTGGCAGTCAAGAGATGAAGCCGTGAAAGCAGGTTTAGAAAAATGTGATGAAAATGGCCAACAGTAACAATGAAATATACTTAAAAACAATTTTTCCTGAAAAAAACCCAAGAAACTGCTCTATTATAAACAGTTTCTACCGTAGAGCGATTCAACATCAGATTGTGCAGTGGAGCCTGGCTTGTGTTCTTCATATTTCTCGAAAAAATATACATATAATGTAAGCCACATCCTTGGGAGGAATATTCAACTTTTCTCCCGGAGAAGGGCGGAAAAATTGACGAGATTTCCAGTGTTACTTTGCACAGCCCTAGTTTTTATACCAAAGCATTTCTGTCGTGACAACGTCGTCGCTTTACTATACAGGGACAAAAATAATTGTGGCTAAGACTGGCCATTTGCTGGGCCCGTCCCGTACGTCATATATCCGTTGGCTGCAAGCGTGCCACGTTTTCTTGGAACGCTTGAAGACAATAGAAGTATGCAAATGCGGTGTACTTATCAAAAAGCTTCCCAAGAGTGGCCAGAAAAAGGTACAGACTGTTTAGGGTGTATGACGTTTTGTCTCTAGAGGCCTTCCGACTAAATTGCCTTAATGTGTTTGTTTTTTACAACTAGCGCCAAATGCACGAATGCAGGAGGTCAGTACCGCGTGCCGCTCTTGGAAGCAAATGGTGGCATAGCACTGCAACGAGTGGCCCCTTGAAGGCAAATGGCAGCAGAATACTCTTGCGTGGCACTTCTCGCACGTTCGCACAACGTTGGTTATTCATAGTACTTGTACGGAACGCAAAGCATGGATTTTATCAATACGTTTTGCTTCCAACCACTATATTGTTCTATTTGAATGATTTTGGCAAATGGAACCGAACCAAATGCTCAAGGTATTCCCTTTAGTTTCAGCGCGAGAACCGCGACACCTACATTGAGGACGTCCACTATCCGTTGCTGATGCTACTTCGCAAGATCCCCGAAAGCTAAGGTAGGCTTCACAATGTATTCCTCCATGCTTATGTCTCCTAAATTCCCCCTCAGATGTATAGTCTACGCCAATAGACCCGTTTCCTAGAAATGCCCCGAGGAGGCGCTGTTGCATTTTACATCCCCCGCAAACTCCTGGTCAAATGGAAGGAGAAAAAATCCCCACCGAGAGCCACAGTTTTTTGCAACATTCATAAAATATTTCACCACAAAGCCTACTATAGTCAGCAACAGGACAACTTCGCGCTCAATTCAGACGTGATTTCACATTAAAAATCGCTAATAAAAGGCACTTTGTGATTTACTTCGCAAAAAAAGGGATATATGTTGTGAAATCTTACTTTAAACATAAACCGAAACTGAAACTTCGGCTCTGTCGGGCAGCCTAGAAGACTACCGATCACCTGTAACGTGTTTAGTGAAACAACAAAAGGACCTTACTAAATCTCCAACTTCGTGATTCTTGTAGCAGAAATTGTGGCACAGACGAGCTAGGATTGCTTAAGGAAGCAGGACGACCAGAAGTTGCTTGGGGCGCAGGAGACAGAGTGTGTTTGTAATAAAAAAAAAAAAATCTATAGTCGGTGACAGGTTAAGGGTGAAGTGGAAGCTCCTCCTACCTTTTTCCACTTTAGCAGAGCGAACACCGGAGAGGAGACAATCTCCTTTCCAGCTTTCCCCTTCAGCAGCATGAAAGCTGGAGACGAGATTGCCTCCTCTCCAGCGTTCGCTCTGCTAAAGTGGAAAGAGGTGGGAGGAGCTTCCACTTCACCCTTAACCTGTCACCGACTAAACAGTTCAGCCTCGTTATATCGAACGGTGCGAGGACCATAAAATAGTTTGATGTATGAATTTACAGTAAAAACGCTCCAAATGCAGCGCAATTTAGTCACTAAAGAGCTCACGGCAAAATGAATACTCGCTAGAAGTGGTCGCGGAAACTATTTATTTATTCTGGCAAAAAAACTTCAGCAGTCTGGCCTGCTTCTTGGTGTCGCAAGCAATCTCATTGGTTGCAGGCCATACTGCAATGACAAGAAGCTCGTGTAGGAGCCAAAGTGCCCCCCGTGTATGCCGCCGAGTCTAAAAGTGGTACCGGCACCGTGGCAATGCACGTTTAAGTTGCATATGCCTGCCGCACCACCACTATTCCCTGGTGTGTTGCATGAAAGCCTGCCACGCGTCTCCAGAGTACGCCTCACCAGCGCTGCGGAGTTCAATATAGATATATTTTACGATTGACCCACCTCGATGCATAAAGTTTCAAATGCACATACATTTTGATAATTCGAAAACAGTTCTATACAAGCAATAATTCAATATACCATTATTCAATATAACGAGGTTTGACGTATAAAGGCAATTAGTCGTGGCATGTGGCCAAGACAATGGCTGGTGGGGGCATAGCACCCACTTTGTGGACAAGTCCGCATTGCTCCGGCGGGGGCAAAGCTGAAGCGGAGCAGACTGATAAGGTACCTTCCCTTTCTAGGAGCAATGTGCAATTGCCCAAAGCACAAGCATGCCTCCCATCGGCTGCCATCTCAGCCACGTGCCGAGAGTGGGTCTTTTGTATTGGCGGGGACTGTACACGTGGCAAAGCGCAATGTAGCACGCGCCGTAGAGAATGTGTGATTTTGCGTTCGCAGTTCACTTTCAGACTGTTGGTAAGAAAAATGGGGTTCAGCATTTTCTTTCTCTAGTTGTGCCATTGCAACTGCCAGTTTGGCAGAAAATGATAGCCAATAAAACATTGACATTCATTTTGACATCTGCAGACCTGTTAAGGAAGAGGTTATTAGCCTTCTTTGTGGCAGATGCAGACACGCTCTGTTCACCCTTGAGCCGAAACTACAGCCAAGAGCGCAAGATCTCGGCTTTAAACATTTTTCCGCTGAACAAACTCTCGTTCTAAAGTTGGCGACAGGTTAAGAGCTCGGGGGAAATTCGTCCCACCTCTTCCCTCTTTAGCTGAGCAGACGCTGGAGAGGGGGTCATCTCTTCTCCAATGTTGGCTCTGCTAAAGTGAAAAGTGGTGGGAGGACTTTCCCCCGAGTCACCAAATAAGGAAAGGCATGCCTCAAAGCCAGATGCGCAGGCTTGGTCGCACTTGCAGCTTTGCATGCAGTCTAGGCTTAAGGGTGAATGGGCTATAGCACCATAAATGTTTACTTAAAGAGTGTTTCACACATTTTCTCATTGTAATAATTAGCCCAACTATATGCTTTGCTTCTCCAAAAGCCTGAAATATCAAAATTGTAGTATACTCTCGTAAATTCCCAAGCAAGTGCTCACTCAAAATTCGATAATCGTGCAAAACTGGAGAATGGGCACTTCTAGGTCAACATGTAAAGACAGGTCCCTCTAGCATTTTCCAAATGTTACAAAATTGAAGGGTGGGCACCTATTGTGGAATGGGAGGGTGCTCGGTATATTAAGGTACATTCTTCATTTCTTTGTACTTTTGGGGTTCACAAATGGATGATTTCTCTTTCCTTGCAGGATGAAACACCACATATAAAAGCTTGCCTCATTGTTGCCAAAAAGAAAAAAAAACACCAAAGAATGGGAGTGTTGTGGACATGTCTCGAAATTCTCAGGACCAAAAAATGTCATGTGTGAAACCTGTTACCTTGACAACATCTAGTTTTTGAATGTCTTTTCCGTCTCCCACCCACTCCCAACTAGTCGTAGAATTTTGATGTACATCGTGTTTTCTGGAGATGTAAATAAACACTTATTTTTCAGAGAGAAGAAAAAAAAAAAATAACACCTGTACGTTCCTTCCTTGCACTGGAGTTTTTTTTATTGCCTTGCAATACTTGAGAAGGAAACAAATGACACAGGAAGACGTGATTTGCTCGTCATATTGCCCCGTACCTGTTCCCAACGTGAGGCTTGTCATGTAAGCACGGTATATACAGGAAGATGAATAAATAAGCAACAGCAATGACTACACTCGATGTTGAGATCAAACGACGACTGAAAACCTACACCAAGCACCAGGAAGACAGCTTAAGAGTTGCACCACATGCATATTCAACAGACCCTAAAAACGAGACGAGTTGCAATTACATGCGCAGCTGCTGTTTTCACCAGCTGCGACGTACGACGAATCATTACAACCGGTCGTCCGAGCAGAAGAAACATTGGCAGCAACTTGCACGAGCAATTAATGGCGCAAAACAAAGTAAGATTAGTCAAGAACACTTTTCCACTTCAGGCACACAGGCGGAAAACTGTACCAAGGCCACAAGAAACTCTGGTCTTTTCTCACGACGCAATTTTTCTAACGCGTGTGTAATGCATAGTGTGTCTTCAATGCCATTTGCAAAGGGCAATGTGCGAATGAAAAGTTGCATCGTATTAGGCGGTTTACTATCTATGCCTTTGACGCAAATTATTAGATGCACGAAAACTATGAATGCACATCTAAGACAGTGGAAGACAAAACGCATTCCTTAACTGCTTATGTGTCTTTTTTTTTGCATCTGGCAATAAAAACAAAAGAACTTGACTGCATAACATATTGAACCAGTGTTCCTTGGGAACACTGACGATGAGCAAAACGAGAAGCAAACACAAATCTCTGGGTAGGGCCCAGGATTCGACATCGAGCTCCACAAGAGTGAGCAATGACCCAGAGACACAATCGTTTGTTCAAACAGTTGAAGACGAAGACTGCAGTTGACATCGCCGTCCCCACTGATGACACTGTTCGCCACTCCGCCACCGGTACCGCGTGGGTGGGGACACATGGCAAAACTTGCTCTTAGAGGCACGAAAAGGTGAAAAAAAGAAAAAAAAGGGAAACTTAAACAAAACATTAACCTAGGACCAGTCAAGATGAGTTCCAAAAAGGAATGATACCAGAAAACAAACACTAACAAATGTCCAAACGTGCCAACACTAATGTGCAAACAGGCAAATGGCCTTTCAGTCTAGATAACACCAACTGGCAAGTTGGTGCTGCTCCAAGCTGGCACAGCATTGGCACTGCTCCGACGTCGCTCGCTCCTTGAGGGCCGGCTGCATGCCCGGTCACTCCGCACATGACCGTTTCCAAATGAGGAACGATTGCGATGGCAGGGACAAAAGCGGTCCGAAGCTCGCGATCACTTTGTGAGCGTGAGTTTGCGGGCGGCTGGAGTGTTCTTCCTCTCCGCGGTGACACTCGCCATGGCGCCTGCGGTGAGTAGCCGCGTCCCCGCCGGCAGCGCGAAGGCCGGCACTGCCCCGTTCCTGGACCCCCCTAGCACCATGGACGGCAGCGCCAGCACGCAGTTGGACGGAGAAAAGATGGGCAGCTGTGGAGACGACGCGCAGGACGCGGTCGCTGCCACCAGCGGAACCACCTCTGGCGACGGCGTCGAGGCGCTCGGGTGATAAAAGCAGGCGTAGTAGTTCGGTGTCAGGGGCGCCGTTGAGCTTGGCGTCGGCGGCGCCGAGTCGTCCGCCTCTGTGACCGTGCTGAGCTGCCCGTCGGCGGCGGCGTCAACGAGCCCGCTCTTGCCTTCGGCGTCGTAGGTGAGCTTGCGTGCTGCGGGAGTGGCCGCTGCTCGTGGCGAGGCCGTCGAAGCCAGACTGGATTCGCCACCCGTCGGTGCCGCCTCGTGGCGCTGTTCGACGATCCAGCTGGGAAACCCGAAGGTCGGCGTGAGGAACGTCGGTTCGGGCGGCTGCTTACCGGCGGAGGAGCACTTGCTGCAGAGGCGAGAGAGAAGGTCGATGCGTTCGTCACCGCACGTAGCCAAACGCTCCTTTGCACGAATCGTGGCTTCCGTCCCAAAGCCTCGCAATTTTCACCCAGACGCATTCAGAGTACATTATGCAGAGTCGCTGAACTTGCGATGCGACTAGATCGCATCGCAAAACAATCAGATGGTCACACTGGCGCACGCGATTAGCGAGTTGCTTCGGCTGCTTCTTGAAAACTCTAGCTCCAGACAATATTTCTCGGCCACTGATTGGCTTGGCCGTTTTGCGACTAAGATCGCATCGCACAAAAGTCTGGTCAGCTGGCGACTGCTTGAAACGCATCGCTTATTCCTTGCAATGGTCACTTTCGCGATGAGTCGCTGCGCAAGTGCTGCACATCGCTGATGTGAACGAGCCTTTAGTCAGCGCTGTAAATTGTGGCGAACTGCAGCACTGACTTTGTGCAATCTTAGTGATAAAGTGTTGCATGAGCGCTGTTCCTATCGTTGATTTAGCACTGGAATGTATGTGTCGACCGGCCTTTAAACGCCTGGATAGGAGATGTAAAACACTTGTCGCATTGCATATCATTTCGATAGAAATTGCTGTCCATTAAAACCCCCATCAAGTGTTTTTGCACAATCATTACATTTAATTGAAAGTTTAAACCTGGTGTTTCCTTTCAACTGCGGCCCCCCAAGAGAGACAACGAAACTCTACTGTATTCGTTTCTCGGTAAAAAAAAATATTAAAAATTAGGATGCTTTACATATCGCAATATAAGGCAGCTTTTACGCTTTGGGTTGTAATACGTGTACCATAAAGTATGCATATCGCCACAAAAAGTTCCCCAAAAAACTGGTCAAAATTGAATGCTACAGTCGCAGTGAAGTTGGCTCTGTCATTGCTGCTCCTGAGATACTCTCGAAAGTGTTTATGCAAACTCTGAGCAAGAGAGAACGATCCTACCCTTCTGCCGGAATTCTTCCTAAATACATACTATATTAAAGCCTCCAATACGTATATATAAAAGCACCGCATTGCGCTGGACACCGAAACACACCTACGTAACTCAACGGGTACTATTAGACATTTCACACATTTGTATCAATACGAAATTCCATTCGGGGCACTGCAAACCATTACAGCTTGAGTAAAATCGCTTGAATAGACTCATACCTATCGCTACCATCCAGCTGAAAGCTAGGAGATTGGCCTTACCATGGCGCCTCTGCAGGCTTTTTGGCAGAGGTCTTTTCCTGCTGGATGCTGATGATGGGTTTGGAGTCAATGGGCAGGTTCAGGGACTGCAACAGACTGTTGTACTGCTCCTCAGACAGGGTGATCACATGAGACTCCGTGCCGGGGCTAGATGTCGCCGCGCCTTTGCTCGCAGCAGCCTGGGGACAGAGGCAATGCGCACGGTTAGTACCTCCGTTTCCAACGCAGGGTGCTTCTGTGCTGCGTGGACCAAGTGGATCGAACACCCGTTACACATATAGCTTGCAAGGTCGGAGCTTTCGTGCTACGACGCCCATTCGCTGTAGAAATCTGGATGGGCGAGGAGTTCATTTCGTGAAATACCACACAATTGAAGAAAAAAAAAACGACCCAACTGAAAGTTAGAAAATGGAAACCGAATTTCTCTGTGAACCAAGGTTAATCATCTTAAGTGTCAAAGACACTGAAAATGCTTAAAGACATTAATGTAGGTTGTTTAGGATATTGCTTAAACAAAACAGAGTCGAAACATTTGGCGTTCTTATCGGCCCCCGCTGCCACCTCACTTGCTGCGATGCAATTACAAGACGCTGGGGACTCGCTGAGTCGACAGCTTAGCAAACGCGTCGACGCATTTCTCAAATTGTCGGTGACTGCGCCAACCGTTCAGTGAAGTTGGGTTCGACGGGATGTGCAGTCTTCCGCAGAGTTTTCGCAACTTCGAAAGGGCTCAAGGCCACAATCGCCGAACCTAACCTCGAGCTTGAATGTTCGAGCGCCCTGCTGAACCCTGACGCGACGGTCGTGTCCAATCGTTTGGCAGCGTGGCCTCCTCAAACCTATCCTTTTCGGGCGCCGACTAGCGGCCGACTGGGGCGCCTTTTCACGACCATGGCTACGACAGCCAGTCGTCGCTATCGCACAACTGGATACAACTACAGCATCCGGCGCATACAGTCAGCTACGACGGCGAATCCAACCCTACCTGTTCTTCCACCTTGCACTCTTCGACTGGTTGTGGTGTTGCCAAGGCCGGTGTGCCTGGGGGCATCGTAAAACAAAAGAACAGTGAACGGAGGAAACGTCGGTCGGAAGCGGGGTGCAGAACAGACTGGGAAACTGTCGCAACGTCCTTGAGCCTATACATCGAGCCCTTCCCTCGCACTCTGCCGTCCATACCCCGCTTTAACTAACGACGGCTGCTACAAGCCATCAGAGCCCGTCCCGTGCCACGCGTGTCGCGTAACCTTCCGGAGGGGCACCGAGCAATGCGACACGCTCGCGGCGCTGGGTTGGCTAGGATGGCTCAAGGCGTCCGCTGCAGTTACGATAAGGTGAAATGGAAAATGTAATCTGTTTTTCCATGAAGTCGCTATCGCGCGGTACTACCATTTGCTCGCGTTGCACTACACTACAGGAGCTTGCATCTGCATATGCTGCGAGTCGCCGGGACGCGTTTTGTGGGAGGCATGGCAACCGTTTCAAGAAGCAGCTTTGCACGTGACATACGAGGCACGAATTTCCCTGCGACTCGTAACGTAACGTAAAAAATGTAAGCAAGTGCTCCCATGCGAACGGTCATTAAGTGCAAGCGCTGCCGACTCTTCCAGCACGGACATGCTGCTTTGAACCACGCTTGCACTTTGCAAGTGTGTGTGTACAGCAAGCCCACACAAGCTGAAACAATGTATATGGGTGTTATGATATCGGCACCCCAAATCCCACAAACCCTTACACTGAAAGAATGCACACACACAGTTGGTCACTTATCCTCTGCGGACATCCAAGACCGTACAAATCGATTCATTTTACCGAGACCAGGATTTGGGCCCACCCGAGTATCAACTTGAAGAACTGCAAACACGTTCTTCACGTGGCGCTTGGATGGATTTAAACGGTTGCTCCTTCATCTCGTCTGCCTTGCACCCTGGCTGCAGGCTCTGAAGTGCCTCTATCCTTGCGCCAGACGACAAAGAACAAAGGTGGCCGTACCTTCGCCGGTCACGTGGCAGCCCGTCGTCGTGGATGGACCCGGATTTGTCGCCGTTTCTGGCAGACCGGGGAGTTGCGCCTGCTGCGTTACGTCCCTGGTTTCAGCGGCCGAGTACAGCTTCCGGCGCTCCATCTCAGCGACTTCGCATATGTCGTGGAAGCTCGCGTGACGAGCCAGACCCCGGGAGGCTGCCACATTCGACCTGATACCGCGCCGCTGCTTTCTCAGCTCGGACAGGTCGTCGCTTCTTGTTCGCTGGAAGCGGCCCTTGTTCGAGTTGTCTGCGAAAAAGTCACAAAAACGAAATGTTAAAGGGGCAATGTAACGATATTCAGATGGAATGTTTCTCACTTTACACAAATTTATTGGCACTAGTGGAACCCAAGCATACTAGACGCAACACCGCTGACTAAGAGGTGTCTGTTGCGGTGCTATTTCAAGGGTAAAAGCGAGCGTTTTCTTTCAACCTCTCCTTCGCAAATCTCGACAACGTAGCTCGGAGTTCTCAGCAATGGCATGGTCCCCCGAGTGACGGTATTTGAATGCGGCTCGTAGATTTGACCCAAGGATTACGCGAGCACACGATTTGGGCTCGTAATAATCGGTAACTCGACAAGGATTTGGGTAGTGGCTCGTGTCTAACCACTATACAATGATCAAACCCTAATCACGCCTGGAACTCGGCGCGTGTCCCGTGCTTTGCCAACCCCAGTGCGTGGGAACGATAAACACTGGCAGCATATAATCGGCTCCAGATCACGTGGCCGCCTGTTCTGGCTACGAGTTATATGGGGTAAACAGAGCTTGTTTTTCTCAAGCTTTTCCTGCGACTGCCGCTGCTTGGAAAAAACAAAAAAACACGTGTATTATAAGTTAGAAACATCAGGGATTCGTTCTAAGCAGTATTTATGCATGATACAAAAAATCATTGCACCGCCGCTTTAACATGGGTGGTTGTGCTGCCTGCATCAGCAGGGGTCTTGCGTACAAGAAACCACAAATTGCGGAAGGTTAAGAGATAGCCCATCATCATATAGAAATATAGAAAAGAAAAAAAAAACATACCTTGAGTTTCCTGAAGCAGTTGGAACACCTGAGCAGTGCAGCCTTGGCCCCCCTGAGACTTGAGCGAACCGTATTCTGTTGTTGCTGTAGAATGAGAGTGCAATGTCGAGAAAGTTAAGAGAATTCCATGCAGAAAGAGCCAAGTTTCTGTAGTTTCCACTCGCTACGAGATAGGACCTGTAATTAAACTTCCTGGAAAGCCTATGGCACCTGTCATTTCGCCGAGAGACCTCTCCGGGGCAAATCTGAAAAGGGCTACCTTGCTTCTTTAGGGCCAAGTAGAAGAAGCTGCTTAATTTTTCAACGCCAAGCAGAAGAAACTACTCTTTTCGGGGATAAGCTGAAGACGCCAAGTGTCCCAGCAGAAACATTGGCCACCTCTTTGAGGCTTCTGGTAAATTCTGTATCAAGTTCTTCGTAACCAGCTTCAGATAGCTTTGACTTTTTGACGAGTTAGGAAAGTGGTTCGTACCGTGTGGCCTTGCGGGGCCTCTGCCAGCGACGCCAGTTGCGACCAGCGAGTGCCTTGACTGCGAGCGGGCGGCCAGAACTGCACAATGTTTTCGAGGAGGACAACAGAAATGCAATGCAACATAAGACTTGGTTTCTTGTACTAGGGTGAATGCACAGCAAAGGCACAGCAGCCAGTCTGGGTTTATCTGGGTTCTCGTTTAAGCATGGTGCACGCAACAGTTGTGAACGCTTGGAGAAACTATTCTATATTCAATTAGAAAATATTCCGCTGAAACCACTTTTCTTTTCGATTTCGCTTCCAACTCAAAATCCACTATTCGCACATGACTAATATCCAGTAGGAGCACAACTAGAATCGAGGTTTTGCGCTAAAATATTTTCAGTTATTTGTGCAAACAATTTTTTAGATCTTGATGGTTTGTGATGTTATCTTCCACCAATATAAAGTCGAGGTATCGTTTAAGGTAACTGTAAGCTTTGTCACAATAAATGACAAGCTCGTTTTAAAACAAAGTACAAAGTGAAGGCACACAGAGAAACTGCCTGTGACATTCTTCCATTGGGTCGAGACCAGTAAACCAAACTATGTAAGTACTTTATACAAATCATAAACTATGTAAGAACTCTATACAAATCATAAACTATGTAAATACTCTATACAAATCCCAATTGCTACAAAACCCAAGCACTTTGAGACAAGAAAAAAAAGAATACCTTCATCTACGGAACTGAGTGATCCAATGTCGGGACCGATGTACTTGAAGGCACTCTTGCGCCCCCTGGCTTCTGTAACTGTCACCTTGTGGATGAGACCGAGACTGCTGAGGATGTTGGCAATGTCGTACAAGCGACGAATCTTGGCTGCAACGTCACACCAATATCAAATCAAGATTTAGGCATCTCAGTTCCATTGCTTAAATGCAATGTCGAATCTTGGCTGCAACATCACAACAATATTAACTCACTGCTGAAATACAATGTCTCTTTTTCCTCTTTTACAATGGGCGGGCCATGAACAAAAAGAGTTTGAAATAAAGACTCAACAGTGATGGCCGATTTTCTTTTGCGTCTAAGATTTTGACAAGCCTTTGTTGAAAGGCACACTTTTAGCTTAGAACTTGAACGTTACTTTTTTTTTTTTTACGGCAACATAGGCTAAACCTTTGACGCGTCAAACATATATCCTAGACCACTCACTCTTGTAGAGCAGCGACTGCGTCTTGTCAATAGTCGGATCTCCAATCAGCACTTTTGCCGCCAGATCCAGACTCACGGTCTTGGGCTGTGACAAGCAAAAAACAAAAAACTTTTATTTCAACGTCCATGCATCCAAGAGTACAAAGAAGCATTTCCTCACGACGCATTGCATCCATCCATCGATACAACCTCACCAGATCTGGACACTTCCCGGTTCTGTCAAGTGCACGGCCTACGAGACAGCACCATCCTACAAAGTGAGCGCCGCTTCCCCACAAAGTATCCATGCTATAGTTTGTTTCCCTTCAAGTCCAGGCACAGCCGACGCTACGAGCTGATGGGACAATCGGACAGCGTCAAAAGCGCACCATCATGATGTTCGTCATGTATCTGTACATGTTCCACCGTCGCTGAACCAGTCGTAAACGGAAAAGGCCAAGTGACTTTCGCTTCTGACGCTGCTTGAATGGTCCCATTATCTCGTGGTGTCGGCTGCATCTGGACTTGAGCTAAAACAAAGTATACACTAACACGCGGCGCTGATGTCGCGCTGCTGCGGTGGCGCTGCTAGTGGCAAGGCACATGCCCGGATGCTCCACTTGACGCAAATCTGATTCCTGCACATGCGCAGTGCCCCCACCTCGTGCGGAAACTGCGCGCTTTCCCACACCTCGTAAGGGCTTGTTTGTAAGTGGCACATTGGCCTATGGGAGGCACGGGCGCATAAGGCAAACACGAAAGGAGGTTCTCAGATGCCCTGTTTCACTATCCTTCCGCCTTCCCTGCATCCTGAAATCACAAAATGTTAAACTGACATCAACTTCGAGTCCCGGATGACCTCGCATTCTGTAGTCGGAACGTCGCAACGCGTCGAGCAAACGTGCCACAGATTTCCGGAACAATCTATTGGCACACAACGACCTGTAGTCGGTGACAGATTAAGAGCCCGGTTAATACTCTGCCTTTAAGATCTGTGTTTTTCCTTTAATAACACTCAAACGCACGTGCCTGGCAATGAGTGCATGCTGGAGGTGGAGCATCTACTCAGTTCTTAATTCTACCACCGACAGTACACCATCTCAACACGCTGACGCTGCTATCGGCACTGCCCAACACGGGATCGTTTGTAAACAGCGTGTTGGATGGTGTATAGTGTTCTCTCGTAGGCCGTCACAGGCGATCGTAACGCAGTCGATTGCTGTCAAGTACAAATCTGTGACTGGGCCTTTAACAGGCCAGTCATCGCCAACCCTGGTCCACTCACGGGGGAGGTGAGGAAAAGCATGAGGAAGCGCTGACTCATGATGCCCATCGACTTCTCTCGTCGCGGGTCCTGTTCCTGCGCCGTGCCGTCTCCGTCGCGGTCGGGGGACGTCGCCTTTTGCGCTTTTCCACCGTCCCTCGAGGGTCCCCCAAAGAGCTGACTCATCTCCAGGGAGTGGCTAAACTCGAAGTCCTTCACTGAGTGGATCTGCGCCGCCATATTGGTTCTTTCCGACAGGGCCTGGGAGCAAGACGGTCATCCAGATGTTATCGGAATAATACAAAAAATTGTTTCATATTACAGCATGGGTTTTCTATTTGGTTTCTAGGAACCCAGGGGTTTCCTAAAGTACCTGCAGGGTTTGCCCAAAGTTCCCCCAGGGGCTCTCCAAAGCACCCCCAGAAGCCCTAATGTACACGGTGAGACCAGGCGGGTCCGGGACATTGCCGTCTGCTGCGATTGGTCCGTGGTGCCGAACTGAACAATCGCAGCAAGCAGCAAGATTACCCGGTCCCATGACCCCATTTGGTCCCGCCGCAACGATTTTCAAACTTTGGCCAAATAAGTGTGGAAGTTGGTCTCTGCCATTTCTAAATCTAAGAACAGGAAACCATTTCTCGTTTCATGCACTAATTTTTATTTAAAAAAGAAATGGCAAAGATCAAAGTTTTTAGCACGCCTCAACTCGTGCTAAGGCGACAGGGTACTTCCAAGCCACATGTACAGTGACATCTCTAAGAAATCATGTCACTTTTGGGTGGGCCCTGTGACCTCCGTTTTCTGGTCCTCAGCGCTTCTCCTGCGATTCTGAACACTGTGTCAACCGTATTCTCGAGCAACAGAGCATCATGGCGCGTTGATCTTTGACACCACGCACCTTCGAGGGGTTTCTCGTGTGGTAGACAATGATAGAGGAGATTTTGATTTACAAACAGGAGGCTCTGGTTCGGACACAACGAGACACCGCACCCGGTAGGCATCGCCCGTGATTGCGGCGGACGATATGATTGTACGTTGAGAAACACAAGGAAATGAAAGTTCACTTATCTGCTCCTCGAACAAACCAAACTGCTAGACATTTCTCGAGACGTTTCTAAAACTTAATCTATGTTCAAATATTTACACAAGTTGTGGTCTTGACACAGAACGAGATGTCGGCAGGCCATTGAGTAGACCAAGCAGTTTGATCATCGCTCGCACGTCGGCTCACGAGACTTCTTCATTTTCATCATCGTTAGTTCGCTTTTACGCACGCGGAACCAAGATGGCTGTCTGAGATGCAGCACAAACAAACCCGGCAACGACGAGAAGGGTGGCTGCGCAGGGGAGATGGTTTTGTTGACTTCCAGTAGATGGCACCGCGACAATTTGATAAATTTTAGGGATAATACTATACTTCGTCTCACCTTAGTATGGACTATTGTTAGCCGCGCGTGCTAAAAGCGCGAGCTAGTTTCTTCGAGTGAAGCCTCGGCGGCTGCACGAGCGGTCGTGCAGCGGGTGCTCCAGTCAAGGCAGTCAAGGCTAGCCGCTGGCGCTAGCACAGCATTCGTGGTTAGTCCATACTAAGGTGAGACGAAGTATAGATTTTTCACCCATTGCTCTATGTTCAAACAACAAAATTAAAAAAAAAAAGACTAATTGAGCACAAAATTGCACGAATCGCTAAATTACAAATGACATCCCCCAGAGTACGTCACACAGCACTTCCTTTAACCGCCGCGCACAACTGCAAATCAACAATTTTCCCCAAAGTATACCCCCCCCCCCCCCCCCCCCCCCTTCCCGCCATCCCAAGATAAGCACTGTTTGAGTTTAAGCAGTAGTTCAGCAGCCCCGAGTCCCCCACAAATGCATGAGCCAAACACTCCATAGTATGTGCACTTTACAAGCACCGTTGGCTACTGCTTTACTGCATCAATGCATAGACCCGCTGCACAGCTGCCACTCAAGGCAAGGTTCTTCGAGATTAAAATCTTACAGTACTCCTCCATTAAAGAGTCATAAACAACGTAAAAAGTACCTTCTGTTATGGCCTACAGAGCAAACATAGAAAAGAGAGAGTAATTGACTGCTTCATAGTTTGCCACATTTCTTTCCATATACTGTGTACTGCAGGGGTTCTCAAAACTTCTTGATCTTGAGGAATCCCTATCTGGCTTGACGGAGAGCCAAAGAACCTTTCGTGATTTTTGCATCGATGCAATAAAGCGGCACAGAGGCCTCCAACCTCGCAAAAAAATAATGCCCACAATAGGAAGCATTTGGCTCATTGTTATGCATCAGTGGAGTGCTCAAACCTGCTAAAACAGCGATTAAACTAGAAATATGATCCACTTGGGAGTAGAGATGGCCAAGAAAATTTGGAAGCTAGCAAAATATTATGCGAGTACCCTCACAAAAGCTGGAGATAATCGAGAAAAAATGGGGACGAGCACTTGCTAAATCCGAGAATTAAAAAAAATTGAAGAGTAGGCCCTTGTTTGATTGTTTGATCTAACTGAATGGTATAGGAGCAGTGCAGGGGCCTGGCAGAATCCCCAAGTTCTAAAGCAGCAGCATCGCTCTTGCCAAGCCCGGTTGCAATGGCAATCTCGTGTTGAGCTTCACCACTTTGCATCGGAACACATGTGTAAAGGTTTGTCGCCTTGCATTGGTTTCTCGAAGGAGCAGCTGACATGGAGGGAGACCTCAGTTAGTTCAGTGGGCTCAGAAGATTGCTGGGGTGGGCACTTGACACGTCCAAAAATGTTCCAAAAGTGTGAAACTTGGGCACATGCTCAGTGTTTTATGGTAAACTCATTCTCTGACGTGACCATCCATCGGGTGACTGTACAGACCGCAAACCAGTTAGCACAAAAGGGTGTTTTCTTGCACGAAAAAGACTTAAATTAATTAGCACGATAGAATGTGTCAAAGTAAGACATCAACTTAAATTTGGACCTTCTACACTAATTTCTCTCGAGTAAAACACAAAACAACAGCCATGTCGTGCTCATTGCGCGCGTGACTGCATCATAGCCCAGGCGAAAATCAACCCATTGACCAGCTGCATTATGGAACTGGTCCCATGCAGCTGGAAACGAGACAGTCCAGCTGGAATCCAGCTGCCAGTGGGCTGATTTTTGCCTGGGCGTGCAGTGTACTTCCAGGTTAAATGTGGTTTCAAGATGAATGCTGACTGGTGATTTTTGCCAGGTTTATTAGATGTGACATTTGCATTTGTACCGTCAAGCTAGAATGCAAACAAAACTCAAATGTGGAGAATTGAAAAAAAGAAGTCTCATCTCAGAATTGCAGCCAATGTTTTGCAAAAAGTCTCAAAGTGTAAATTCCCAAGAAACATGTTAACTACAAATTTTATGTTAGTATTCCATTGTTCAGTATTTCTTTTTAAAATCCAGGTTACTCATCAAGCATTGGGCTATCAAGCTAAATTTTTGCGTGACAATCTGACCCTCCTAGTAAGAGCAAATCACTGCCAACTTAAAAAATCAAATGATCAAGCTCATCCAAGGTTTACTGTGAGCTGACCTTTCTCTCTACGCGCACTGACATAAGGGCAGGTTTTAAAGAAAGAAAGATGGAGAGAACCAGAAAAGTTATTTTATTCAGTTGAGACCAAATTCCAGTTAATATATTAAAAAAAAAAGCCAAATATAAGAAGCAAAAATAAAATTAATATACCCGTAATATCCCGAGTCATCGCCCACCCCCCCTACCGCCTGAAATTCATTAAAAAAGTCGGGTGGGCCATGTCTCGGTGGGTGAGCACAAACACTTAAAAAAAAAGCGGAAAAAACCGCCTATTTTTCTCTGCGTATCTAGCGCTGGTGCACAAGAGATACATCAAACTCAAAACTCGATTTAGTTTCATTGTTTTATAGAAAAAAATGCTCAAGTCTGTTGCTTGCATACGCGCTAGAAACACCGCCGATCTGCATATAGCGCGAACGTTTGTTCCGTGAAAGAATGTCACCACTATGTTCTCCTAGTTAATAAAAAAAAAAAAAGTCTACAAGAAAACAGAAAAACCGAGCAGGCAGCGAGCGAGCGGACCAAAGAAGCGACCAAGAGCAACGCTGGGAAAGCGGGAAAGCCGGCGGTCGCGTTGGCAAATACTTTGGCGTCGGGCCAAGTCGGGCGCCTTGTCAATTGCAAGCTCTTGCGCAACTTTCTTGTTTGGTGCGTACGTACGTGCGTCCGTGCACGGCGGGCTATCAATGCACGGTTGGGACGCTCTGCAAACGTCTGTGTAGGGCGTTCCAGCAAAGCTTTATTTACGCGTTGGCTTTGCCTAAAATATTGCACAACCGCGGTCGCGACGGGCGAGAAGAAAGAGCGGGTTCGCGGTGACCTTACTTCGGCGGAGACAGACTTTGACCTAACACTCCGCGGTTACATTAACAAACTCTTATTTTGTTATCTCCATCGTTTTCTTTTCGCACGGATACACGACCACTTTGGGGTCGCTCACGGAGGAAATGCGTAATCAAAAAGAAGTGTCTTTCCCTCCTTCGTTTTACTTTGTCACGGACGTCCTCCAACTGTAAGGTCCGCAGCCGCGTCTTTCGGGTAAAATGAGTGTTCGCGGATCACGGAGTCCGCGCTGGGGTATTTGAAGAAGTGGGCGAAAAAACACTCGGTGTTTTTTCGGAAATCGATATTGGCCCAAAAAATGGGGTGGGCGACGGCTCGGGGATGGGCGATGACTCGGGATATTACGGTAGTGTGATTTTAACGAAAACATGAGATCCAGAAACACTTTGAGGAACTGTCTCGTGGCTTTAGTTTTTTTGGTCAAGTGGCAAGCATGTGCTCACCACAAAGCACTGGACATTGGCAGTAAGTATGAGCACAAAAGCAAGGTAATGAAGAACCCTCCCCACCTTGAGCTTTGGGAGAGTGTCCAGGAGGGGGGCTTTGCCGAACCAGCGGTACTTGTTCTTGGCCTCCTTGGTCACCATCCCGACACTCTCGAGGACATTGACAATGTCGTACACCCTCCTCCTCTCCACACCTGCATGCCAACAATGTTCCATTGTAGACCGACTAATTGACAACACCTGTGCTCAAAGGCCAAAATGGAGAGGAGTGGGAAAGTCTTCGGTGGCGACGAGGCTTGGAAGATGGCCTGGGGCAGTTTGCTATTGACGCAGCCATTCCTCCAGGTGGGTTAGAGGGATTTTTATGACATGCGACTGGTTCAGCGGAGGGAAGGGTATCTAGCACCGCCAATGAATGTTTTGCAAATGGTGTCGGCAAGGAAACAGGCACCTATCCACAACGTATAGGCATAAAGTATGACTACATTTAGCTACGATTTATGGACAAACACAGCTACGATTTTTCGGACAAGGCGTACCCCCGAGCCACTGTGCTGACCGCTGTTTTTTCTTGTTTCGTCGTCGCACTCCGAGATTTAAAGGATTGCCAAAAGGAATCTCATGTCAATGAATCTGACGGTAGGCATGCTTTATTTCGCAGGAAACGCATCTCTTGCTTGCGGTATAAAGAAAGCTATGCTAAAACATACAGTTATGGTATATGTCACATTGAAGGTAAGCAAAAAATTGATGCCAACTCGCTAGGCAATCGTGTTGGATACGTGAAACGTCCAAGCATCACAAATGTTTAGCGATACTCTCGAGTTTCCAGTCACCTACATCAGGTAGTATAATGCGTACCATGTGTAAACTTGATAGCTGTTCCTAGAATGAAGCGATACTACTGCTAATCGGGTTAATAAACATGGAGATCTCCCAGAGCCTTCCATACTCTCAAGCTCCTCTCCCTCATTGCACGCAGGTGGTCAAGCTCATCCTTATGCCTACCCCTTGGGTCACATGACCTCCCCGTCATCCAGTCGGCATTGAGGACCTCGCTACTCCTCTCCTACCCGTGAACCAATCAGTGTAAAGCCTCGCGGCCACGCTTTCATCCGGGCTTCACGAAATGCCGAACACCTAGCCAAAGAACATTTCACGTTAAAAAAAAAGTGTTGCTCCGTTGCCACACTAGCGTCGCAAAGGCGATGCATTAGTGTGGAGAAACTGTGTACACACATGGAGACTGGATGGCAAGATCGTGCAAGGAAAGCTCGTGAGTGCTCTGTGGATGTTACTTGTGAGTGCCATCATCTCTGGTTGTGGTGTTAATGCGACTTTCTCGGAGCCTCTTGGAGTGCGAGACGCAGTGCGAGACATTTGTATTAGCATACTTAAATGAAGTTTTAGTTTGTACATCTAGAAAATTAATTTTCGGTTGATAACTTGTCCAGTCTTAGTGCACGGGCATTTTGGATGCAGCAACCATGAAAATCTGCGTTTTCCTGGAAAGTTCTTGTTGCAATTACACATGCCGCTGTGGGCAGCACGAGCTGTAGCCACAGCTTGTGTGCCGCGAGGTACTTCTACAGGTACCTCCTTGCATCCACAGAACCGGTCACGCGTCATAAAAATCCCTCATACCTGCCGGAAGGCAAACATGATACAATAAAAATGAACATATAAACACGATAGCAAATTACGTACTAAAGCTCTAAAAATGATAAAACTCGGCATATACACTAAGAAAGCATACGAGCTAATGTTTGCCTGCTTAATTTTCGTGTCCCCTTGGGTATGAGCTTCAACAAATACGAACCCCAATTCTCTTTTCGTATTCTTTAAAACTCGTATGGGGTATTCTCAAGCGACAAGGCCACGAGTGCCAGCTTCTGTCAAACTGAACCTATGTCGACAAGTGAACGCGAGGTGAACTTTGCTGTAATACGTAGTCGCCGACAAGATGAGACCGTTGGCCGGATTAGCTTCAGTTGCCCTGCCCTCCCGCACAAGCTTGCTACATTTGGCAATGTTTCAATGTCTCGTGTACCTCCAACCACAAACACACGCGCGCAGCCAAAGCATGGTAGAAGGCACGGAGAGCATGCTGGAGGCTTGGCGTCCAAAAATCCTGCCCTGCCGTTCTTGTTCCGTCGGTGAGCTCTAAGAGGACACAAATTTTGTTTGAACTATCGGAAATTTGAATTATCAGAAATGCATCTAAATATGATGCGAGAGAAATTTGTAATTTGTTATTCAGATGGCTACACATACAGAGCGGATATCTGAAGGTTTTCTCTACACAAGCCCAGCGCTGGGAGATTATGGCAAAGACTCGACGACGGCCCACCCACCTAGATGCCTTGCAACTTCGTCCAGGGACACCACAATTTCGTCCGACGGCTCCGGGTATTCGGGATACAGACCTAGAAACCTGGGGGGGGGGGGGGGGGGGGGGGGGGGGGGGGGGGGGGAGAAATTTAGTTGAAGCCTTAATCGACATCTCCACCATGCCCAAGAACGGCTAAGAAAAATATGCACTTTTCCTCGCTACAGACCCTGTTTACAAACTCCGGCAGTCTATACCCTCCCAAGCAACTTCACATCCAAATTCAGAGAAAAAAAAAAAAAAAATCCAGAACACGGAATTTTGATTGTAATAGCCGATCACACGACGGACCGAATCGCGATTTTCGTCCATGGACCGTATACCACGTGACCGTCACGTCACCGATTCCTCCGATCCACACATTGTCTGCGGACGCATGGACTAATAAAGTTGAGCACTTTTTTCACTTGCAGATTTTTGATGGGAGATTGACTTAAAAAGTGTTTAGTCTAACAAAAATACAGTGTTTTTTTCTTCTTTCTTTTGTGGACGATTAAAACAAAAATGGTGCATTGTTGTGTTTTGTGCGTTCGCTGGTCCCTTTTGCCGCGCGACTCTTGGTTCCACGTGTGAAAGAAACTGCAGAAATTTTGTCCGGCTGACGCAACACAGGTTCCGGTACTCCTCGGGGTTCGTGTCAAGAAGCTCCCGTCGAAACTCGTCTAGCACGCAATGATAATTCTTGCACGTCCGATCAGGCTTTCACGGAGCAAGACCTTTCTTCTGGCTGTGGCGTGCTGGAGTGTTGTGCATGAGCGCAGAGTGTGCAAAGGCATCTCCAAACGCCCCTCCGCAAGCCCAGAACTTCATTTTGAAAAACAGCGCGAATACCACACGGACAAGAAGAAGGAACACACCGGACGAGGCGCTGACTATCAACTGTCTATTCAGAACACATACATAGACATTCACGCGAGGACGGCTTCTTTTTTTCCTCTTCCAGTCATTTGCCATTAATTTACAATTTACAATGTAACGTGTTTAATGGCGAATGACTGGAAGAGGAAAAAGAAGAAGCCGTCCTCGTGTGAATGTCTATGTATGTGTTCTGAATAGACAGTTGATAGTCAGCGCCTCATCCTGTGTGTTCCTTCTTCTTGTCCGTGTGGTATTCGCGCTGTTTTTCAAAATGAATTCATACCAACTCGCCCAACTTTCCATTCTAGTAAACCCAGAACTTCGTCACTACTACGCCGAACCCTTCTCGAGCAGGGCTATGCCTGTGTCACTGTCATGCCTTGGGTTAGTAAAGCTAGTGGCACATCGCACGAAGCCTATCGCAGTGTTCTGTCTCGATCTGTACGTAACAGAGGCGTACAATTCTTTATCGCAGTAGTAAACATCGATTTCTTTCTTGGACAACGGTGCCACGATGCGATGTTGAAGTTTCGCGGCACTGTGGTGTGGTGAACAGGTTAGGTCTGTCCTCGCTGGCGTCTGCTCGTTGTCTCGCTCGTGTGGATGCGCTTGGGAGACGGACAAACTGCAGACATGTCGTCACGGGATCAATCCGTCTACGGATTAGTCCGTCGTGTGAATCGGCCTTAAGTCACCGTAAGTGATGGCAAAGCTTTAGATCTGTGATCTCAAAAGTCTTTAGATATCACGGCAAACTATACTGTGCACTCACGCTTGACATAGGAGCCCAAGTGACTTGTCCTTTCTGCTGATCACGGGCCTCGCGTTTTCGGAGTTGCTGCTGTGGTTGGACAGGTCGTCGTCGACACCCTGCAAAAATTATTTCCGAAATTTCGCTGTAATTAAATTTTCCATATCATTTGTGCAAGGACTAATATACTAGCATATATAAAGTGCCCACCCATATCCAGAGTGCCATAATGCTACCATTTAGACACTGCCCTAAACTGCCTAGATTGCGTGCAGCAAAACCAATTCACAATATAATTTTTTTCTTTTTTAACAAAACAATTTTATTTTATTATAGGAATGCCTTGGATGCATGCACTTGTATTGAAGCATGCATACCTCCCAACATCCCGCTCGATAGGTACTGAGGCAAGAAGGGCTCACGTTTTCACCGCTGGCGTAGGGTAGCCTCTCGGCCAAGGACGACAGCATCTTGAGGCGTGCCGTGGGTGTCGTGGGGTCGGGGTGGGCACCGCCTTCGTTGGCCGCCCTCTTGGGGGGCGTGCCGGGGGAGGCCGCCACGGGAGAGTTGTTGCACCGCTGCGTGACGTCCTGGAGGGCGCGCTGGCGGCACGGCTCGGGAGAACCCCTGCCGCGGAGCGGACGAGCGGAAGCAAACGTTTGGACGTGAGGTCGTTGTCGTCGGTCACAAATGCTCCAACGAAAGACAGATGCCTTTAAGAAGAAATGGGCAGTGACTCTTGAAAGTCCCATTATGCATGGAGTAGAAGTATTTACGGAGCAACCATTTAAAATTTGTTTTTGAAGACAGTGAACAGTTGTTTCGGGGAAACAAGAATCTATATTTTTTATCAATTTCCCCACTAGATTTAGCACAACACTAAATTAGTGTATAGGTCCCGTTATGTCGGGTCGCATGACGTCAATTTTCTCGCTAAATTCAGCGGGGAGACTGAACTGGCGTGTAGGTCACGCGACATAGAGTCACGGTGGCAATATTTCTCATTCAATTCGTTGGCAAGAACGTTAAATCTGGCTCCCGCTTACCAACCTTTCCGTGAAAACAGCCGTTTATAGGGGGGCGTATTCACCGGTGACGAGCAGCTGCATGCGTAGCTGCTCGCCGCGTGCCAACGGCCACCTTTTACAGTGTTTTTGAAACATGCATTCCACATTGTCGAGGTTGCCGGTCTTAAAGGGGTTATGACACGCCAAAAATAAAATATGAGATAACAATACTGCTAGGACCCATTGTATGTTCCTATAATCCTGCTAAATATGTTTTGAAAATGGCACGATAGTTTCATGAATAAATCTATTTATATGCGGGTCCCTCGAAGGGGCGGATCCAAGAGGAATGGGACGCTGGCTCCCGTGCGGTGTCCCCTTGCACGCACTCACAAACTTGGCTCTCTTGGAGCCTCAAGCTTCAGCTTGCTTCCGCGTTTCAAGCATGCAGCCTGTCACGATTACGTCTACGGCATCGCTCGCCTTGTCAAAGTGTTCGACATTGATCGCAGCAGCGATGAGAGTGATTGCTATCAAGAGATGTTGGAAGCTATTCATTTTCACCGCGACCCACTGGCGACCAGCTCCAGCGGTGGCGAGTTACGGATCAACTTGCTGTGGTCACCATTTTCCGGGAATATCTCGCAGGCGCATGCAGGGTGGAGGCTCAATGGGCCAGGGACGAGAGCAAGAACAGTCTATGGGATACCGAGTTGCGTGGCTGTTTTGATCGTACCGCGGCGAGGAGAGCGAGCTTAGGCAATCATAGGGATGCCTAGAATGAGAGGAGGGGGGATGTGTTGTATAAAATGGGAAAAGGGGTTTAATGCCTATGCATTCTTTTCCCGTTTTATACAACATCCCCCCACCCCTCTTATTCTAGAATGAGAAAGGGTTCATGATCTCGTGGTTTATGGACACCATGACGTAACTAATTTTTGCAGTGTGGTCTGGTCGACAGATGAAAATGATAAAAAAAGAAAATGAAAGCCGTTTACAACTCTCTGCAACGCCGAATTAGAGCGCAGCTCTTGAGGAGGAGGAGAGAAGGGTACTGCAGGCCACGTGTTCTCGGGGGGGGTCACGTGATTCTGGGGGGTTACGTGACTACCCTCCCCGAAGTCACGTGACCTCAAGGGGAAGGGGGGTCATGTGACCCCCCCAGATCACGTGACCCCCAGAGAAATTTTTCCGCTAGATTTAGCGGGGAAATTTTTCCGCTAGATTTAGAGGGGAAATTTATCTGCTAAATTTAGCAGGGAAATTTACCCATAATGCACCGCACGCCGCTCAAGCCGAAAACGGGCGCCTTAGAGCTGCGCTCTAAAATTAATAAATTGATTATTTCTATTATTAGAGCTCTAAAAATAGCGTAACTTGGTGTATATACTAAGTATCCTATGAGCATTCCATTTTAAGAATTGTTTATCCGTTTAATTTTCGTGTCATAACCCTTTTAAAAACCTATAAGTGTGAGCTCGTTTTCAGCACGTCTAGCGAACAGTGCACTTGAACGTGGCGTGCAGCGAATACTTCCTAGATGGCAGTGCGACCTACAGACTGGGAAATATAGTACAGTACACATTTGTTCTCGCATGTACCACAATAAGTTCTGTCTGGTAAAACATCTCCACATGGCGAATGATGGTGATTGGGGCAAACCTCTGGTGGTGGTGATGATACTGATTTTGTTCATAGGTAGTGCTGATGGTGCCGATTTTTTTTTTATTGCTCATAGGTAGTGCTGTGTTCAGGGTTGCGTTGGTATGGAATGTGTGGTATGGAACATGGTTATATATGCATTTGAGCATTTGACTGCAGCACCCTCTCGTCTATAAACATTGAGCCAATGCATGCAAAGTTTAACGCGATTATATACGCATTTCACCGCAGCGCCCTCTCCTGTAGAGACATTGAGCGACTACATGCAACGTTTCATCCATGACATCCCCAGCTCTTGAGTTACTACCACATCTCAGAGCCCCCCACTCGTCCCGCAGTCGTGGCCGAGCGGTTAAGGCGATGGACTAGAAATCCATTAGGGTCCCCCCACACGGGTTTTAATCCTGTCGACTGCGCAAACACTTTTCCTTTTTTTAAGAAGGCAGATGAAATGGCAATCGATGAGAGCACGGACGCCGGACAATGCTAGACCCTAAAGAGCTGTGCCCCTAATATGCAGTTCCAGAGCCACCTTATAAATGTCACCAGTGCATCCTCTCGTATGAGATAGCGAGAACTCGGTTGTGAGCAGACGCAAGTATGCAAACTGGCCGTCGGAGAGGCCGCCACTCACGTAGCGGGCAGAAGGCCAATGTCGAGAGCGTCCCGCAGGTCAGGGGAGTATCTGCGAGAGTCTACGTCGAGACATAGCCGCTTGGGAGAGGCGGATGGGGTCTGCGTCTCGAGCCCGTCGCCGCCGTCCCTGGCGCGGACAAACAGGATATTCTGGTTGCTGGCACACGGCTTGAGGCAGTACTCCTCCACCGACATGATGCTCCCTTCGTCGGTTCTCCTGGAAAGAAAATGATGCAAGATGCGAGACTCGCAAGAATGGGAAGGAGTATGAAGTGAAATTTTGGGAGATTTGAGGCACGGTCTTTGGATAAACTGCTTTCCGGTCTGGAAACTTTGGTGGTTTCCACCGTGGTAAATTGCACCACCACAGGCAACGTAATCCATGTGAAAATAAAAAAAAATTAAATAAAATTCATTTTGCATTTATAGACACGCTGTTCACAAGCAAACCTGCATTTGCCCACACAAGGTGTGGGCACTGCGAGTGCGCAGTAACTGAATTCACGTGAAGTGAAGCACCTGTGCCTACGCAAGGCTGTCGACAGTGCCACTGCAGCGGCGTGACGTCAGGGCTGCGTGTTGGTCCATAGTGGTCTCAGTATCCCCCCTTTATCTTTGTGCCGGAGAAGTCGGGTATGCATCCGAAGCACCCTTTTTTTGCGTGAATTGCAATCAAATGGGTCGGGTGCTCCACTCTTGATTTCACGTCACGTCTCGATGCTATCAAGACGTGAAGTGAAATTTTTCACGCCGGAACTGGAAAGAATGTGCAAGTCCCTGTAGAAATTGGACAGTCATGGATCCTCCACCCTTGCCCTCTCGTTCACCCCCTCTTCATTTCACGGTTTCCCTCCTCCTTTCCATGCTCTCTTTAACACCCCCTTATGACAGTGATCTCGAGGGCACAACGCAAATTTTTGTTTCCGTAATCAGATGTTGTTGCTAAATGGAAGAATGTTGTTGTCTCGTTCTTTGTGTTTTCATCCTTTCAATTTCAGATATCTACATTTCAACATGCTCACCTTAATCAGCACCCTTCACATGGCATCTTAATTATTCCGAGGCAATATGAGCCCCAGGCCTCGAGTATAGAAGGTGTTTGCAATCGTCCATAATTTCGACAGGTTGGTCAGGTTTTACAAAAGAGTGGATGCACCCAGCGGCTTTCTTTGCGGTGGCCTCTCCAAACCCTCATCCATCAGTTAGGTCTCCGAGCGATCCGACTGGCTGACTCATAGCATCGGCAGTGTGCCTCTGGAGCTTCAAATTTTCCTTAGGGATATCTTTCCCATAGCAATCACGAAAAGGTTCCAATCCAGGTAATCTAAGAACCAAGCTTGAGGTATCAAAACAGCAAAAGGCACCCGGCGTATGCCCGGCGAAATACTGCACATCAACCTAAGACAACCTAGAGACCCTTAAATGCGCAACCAGAATCTCAGTTCTGTGGTATCTATAGACAGACACCAATAAGCCATGCTAGAGTACGGACACTTCAGTCAGGGTTCAGACCTGCAGTCTCAAGATTCGTAGGCTGGCACTTTACTTCGGGAAGCTACATGTGATGGAGTAACTACGGTAACTGCAATCACATAGTGTAAAACAACTTAATTTTCGCGAAAACCCAATTTTTGTGAATATCGCGAGTTGCCTACAATTTGCGAAAAATAGGTCCCCCAAACGATTTTGGTAAAATGTAAACACATTAGAATTTATAGTGAGATTCCACCGCGTCGTGAAAATTAGAACTTGCGAATCATTCCGAAATTTCAGATTTGACCTAAATAGCGCATTTCCGCAAAAAATAAGTCGTTTACAGTAATAAAAAGAACACTGACCCCCCCCCCCCCCCTTCTTTTTTTTGTCATGTGATTTAATATGGTGTCAGGATACTACCCAACCAATAATCTGCTGTAGCCACATGTATTTTTAATAAAGTAAAAAAGCTGAACTGCTCGGAACCGAAACATGTGGCTGATCCCAAACGCATTTTAACGCAACAGCGTTTAGGAGCTTGTGTCGCAGAAAATCTGGCGTCTGTGTCGGCGGGACCAAAAAATCCCATAATGCAATGCACCCAGCCACGTGTGTCATATGTGGCTGCACACATTGCATTATGGGAATCACCCACTAAATTTGGAGAAAAAAGTTCCCCGCCAAATGTAGCAAAAAAGTTTCCTGCCGAATTTAGCAAAACATTTTCCCGCCAAATTTAGCAAAACATTTTTCCCGCCAAATTCAGCAAAAAAAATTTTAGTTTTCCTGCCAGATTTAGCAGGCCAATAGGGTCATGTCACAGCCACGTGTGACGTCACGTGACGCCACTGACTAGACCACACACAGACATTTGCACGGCTAGGCAACAAGCACGTGCTAATATGAGAAGGCTTTGCGAACGGGATCCGATAACGCTATCGCGTTACACTCTTGAAGGCAAAGCATAGGCGTACGAAGATTTTTTTCTCCTCCGCTTCTCCGAAGAAGGTGACGGTGATGACGACAAACGTGCGATAAACTTGCATGAACTGTTTGTCGTGCGATTGCTTCACACTTATACACAAACTCAACTCTGTTTCGTCACAGCATGGTGGTAGCATGCTTCCGGTCTGGGGCTGTGGGCAGAAGTCACCATGCGAGACGTGCATTCCTGCGTTGTTTTGAAAGAAACCAGACCGACCTTCCTTCTCGTCAAAACGCCGCGACTGCAGCTGTACCAAAAAAGTCGAGAAAGATTTGAAGGTCAGTTTTCATGTGCTCGGTTTGTCTAAGAATGTGGATATGTGCCACGATCTGGGAAAACCAGAAGCCGTCGAACCACGATTGCATGAACGGGAAGCACTTTGGATTGAATTTACGGATACTTGTGGTCATCAGATTTATTTGTTTTGTTCCAACATAAACACGGGAAAACCGTCAAGTTGTAGCTGCGGATTACGCCCACTGTGTCTTCAAAATCAAATGGCCGTCTGCTCTTTAAAAAATTTCTGTTTGGCATCTGCTCTCTCAGATGACACTGCCCCGTAGACCAAACGTTGGCCCGGTAATTGCGATAAGAAGTAAGTGCAGGCCTCAAAAGACCCAAGTTTGAAGGTGGTTGGGGTATAGGCAGGCTCGGTGTAAACAGGAGATACAAGGAGATGTTATCATTGCTATCAGTGGCCATCATTGACTTGTTATTTCCAATTCACTTGGTCCGATTCTGCTTGCAATTTTAAGTATCAACGTCGACCATCTCAGCTATGGTTCACGCATTTGTAGCCCGAGCGACGTCGCAACTGAAAATTGCGAGAGGAATCTTATCATGCGAATCAGGCTTTAGCGTCCATTCTGTAGCACCCACACAGAATGAATCGCCGCATGTCACGTTATTCACTTGACGTTTTGCTGTGTAACGAGCCTCGCTAATTTCGCTGAGGCCGCTCAAGTAGTCAGACATTGCCAGGAAGGCGTAGAATCAACAATTCCAAAGCAAAAAAGAGCACGGGGACTCACACCGACGCCAACAACATCACATTTTAATGGTCTTTATGGGTGACGGCGAGCTTCTTGCCCATGCTCCATCGCGCATGTGCAGCGCCGGTGCCATCCACTAGGGGCGCTCCGGTTTGTTTGCAAACACGATCCAGTTGGTCTATATCCCTTCTGCCCTATGTTCTGCGCTTGAAGATCAAATGACCAATATCACGAATGACAGCTCCAAAGTAGCAGCCCCAGGTCCGTCGCAACACTGGCCCGTCATGCACTGCCATTGTGTCATCCAACCGGCGTTACGTCACCATAACGAAAATGACTTGTACACACACTTCCCCTGATCTGTGCAACTTTTTTTTCGCTGAACATATTTGCTACTTTTTTGAGGCCACAAAATTGGGGTTCATATTCTTTTCTATTTTTAATATTGAATCTGTGTCTTAGATGAGCCATGACTTTAAATATATTTGGTACACATAGTTTGAATGCCATGTGACGATGGAAACAAGAGTGAGCATGACTAAAACCCCGATTCTCGACCCGCTGTTTTCGGGTGGAAAGAACATAAATTTTGAGCCGAAAATTGTGTTCTGTGTAGTTGGGCTCTCATGGGTCATGTCCAAATAAAAACCTCAGCAAGCATAAATACCCTGTTAGTGTTCCTTAAAAAAAAAAAAAAAAAAAAAAAAAAAAAAAACTAAATCTAAAATAACAAATTCTTCTTTTTTTTTTTTTTTACATAAACAGAACAGGCACGTTTTAAAATAAATTTTCGTTGAAAAAAAAAATTTGTAGCCCAATATTTATGCTACAATACAAATCTTTCGATTGGCAGGCGAAACCGAGTTTGTACCCCTGCGGGAAGATGATAGAGGTTGTACCCAAATATAGCAAGTTACAGCTCAAGAAGGGGGGGTGAGGGAAAGAAAGGCCAGGGAGGAGGAAGCAGATGGAACGTTGGAGAAAAGAGGGGGAAACCTCCTCTCTCTAGCGTTTCGTGTGCTTCCTCCTCCCCGGCCTTCCTTTTCCTCGCCCTACCTTCTTGAGTTGCAACGGACTATGGCGTGCATTCCGAGTTCGCTGGATCTCGTGGGAACCATCAATATCATCATTATCCCACAGGGGTACATGTTCGGTTTCGCCTGCAAAATGAAATTCTTTTGCGACATAAAAATTAGGCAAAAAAGATTTTTTTTCAACATTTTTTTTTAACACATGTAAACCAGGTAGGAAAAAAAAGATAAAATATAGTGAGGGTGCAGGTGAACTGGTAAATATTAACCATGTTGAATTAACCTGAGACTGCAGTAGAAAGGAAACATCAAAACGATTTGATACATTGTCCTGTCCATTTTTTGTCCCTTCTACATTTTTGTGCTTCCTTTCTACACACCTCATTTTAATTGAACATGGAAAAGTAAAAAGTCCCCCACCCTAGTTTTAGCATTCTTTTAAGGAAGCAACATGCAATGGAGTAACTAAGATAACTGCGATCATGTGGATAACATTCTTGAAAGTCAGAGGCTGAACTAGTACATAAAGTGACAAAGAATTCTTTTGCAATTTAGTATGCATAGATGGATTCCACCCCAAAGCAGCCTTTTTCGCTCAATAAACTGCAAACTTCAATTAGTTTTGCATTAATTAGCAAGAAAAAAAAAGAAAAAAAGAAAAAAAAAAGTTGAAGGACAGAATGTTGAGAAAGAAGCAAAAATGTATAATATTTCCTTCATCTGTCAAAGTTTAGCCACTGGATCAGAAAAGTTGCCAACAACCTGCATTAAAATACAGATATATATATATATATATATATATATATATATATATATATAAAACCTTTACATTGACATCTTTTTAAGTTGCATTCTCGCTCGACCCTCTGAGCGAATTTTAATTTTATAGAACCTCCAGATAGTTGCACTGGCGCCAGATTCTTTTGTGGAAATTAAACTAAGTCTACATGTCTGACAAAAATGTTTATTCTACAAATTTTTCAGCAAATATGTTTCTAGCTGGATCTCAGTGTCTAGCATATGCACATATCTATTTTTTGCCTAATGTATAAACACAGTGGATTAACTTTGCACTACACCTCTGAATTGCAACAGAGAATATTGAGTCACCAGTTACCAGACTGCCTTCATGATTAGATGATGCAGAAAAGTGAAAACATACACAACAGTCATGTCTCGTTCATATATATCACATTAATATAGAGACAATCCGTCAAACCATTCTGCCCTGTTCAGACTATAAAAGTTTGGGAATGGTAGGTAAATATTGTAAATAACTTAATTTTCCCGAAAAAGCTTAATTTTCACGACTTAGAAATCATTGAAAAAACTTAGTCCCACAAATATATTACCCTATGGCAACACACACAGAGCATGCCACTTCAAATTACAAAATATAGTGCCCGCAAAATATTCCCAAAACACGCAATTTTGTGCTCACTATTGTTCATTGTACTTGTTTTGAGAAAGACAAGACCTGTGCACCAAACAATGGTGTGATTTTTCTGGGCTTTCTGACCAAACAAGAAACTTGCTCCTTTCTCCCCATTGTTTTCTACGACCATGAATAACAAAACAAGAAGAACATTAATGGTTCATGTGCACCTGTTATGCATAAAAATCCGGGTAGAAACTTCCTTGATAATTCAGAAGGCCTATCTCTATCTCTTTCTGGCATCAAGCAGAAGTAGAGAATGTGCCCCACAAGTAACAGACACATACTTCCTGAAGTGTTTGTGAAGACCAAGATCTAAAAGTTTTGAACAAATAAACTCTGTCTTTGCGGCCAGAATTGCAACCTGCTATACATGTTTTTTTTTTTTTTTTACCTTGATATATTGTTATAGAGAACTCCCATTATTTACAATTTATCTGGGGAAAGCTAGGAGGATTACAATCAATGAGGCATGACTGTATAACATTTTCTTTTCCTCAACCAACACACAAGTAAGTAAGCAAGTAATGTAACTTCATCTTGAGTAAAAGCATTCAGCCCTCCTCCATCTTCAGCACTGATGTCTCGCTTTGAGGGGGCCAGGAAATATAATCACTTTGTGCAAACCAATTCCAGCCTCAGTGGACCCCAAAGACATGGCATATTTTTTATGTACACACTATGGTGCCTCTATTAAAAAAAAAAAAAAAAAAAAAAAAAGTTAATTGTTTTCTGTTTTGCTTTTTAATGTAATAAAAGAAACTGAGGAAGATCTGAAGACAAATTAGATTAGATTTAGTTTTTCCAAAATTACATTTAGTTATTTTGTGCGCACAAATTTATCAAAAGAAACCCAACGTTAACGCTTTTAGTTGTACAGCATCAACAAATAAGCCAAATAGGAAATCAAAAGCTACTGCAGAAATATGCCTAACATTTAATGTGAAAGCAGTAAAAACAGTAAAATAAAATCGCAAAATTTGCAGAGTACATACTATTTTGCAATAGACTTTTGAAAAGAGATAAAAAAAATTGAAATTATTCCTTGTAAGATCCGATTTGTGAAGAACAAATCTCTCTCTCTCCCTTCTTTTAAAAATATTTTCCCAAATAATGCATTCTATTAGCTATCACCAGGACCTTGAGTGTGATTGCAATCATAGCTTAACCCTAAAGCTGCAATCCCTCTCACTACGAGAGGATGAGATCCACTTTACGTAGCGTCATCCTAACAAGGTCGTCGAAAAAAGAAAAAAGGCTTAGAGCCAAGATGGCGAACGAGGATAGCAGACGACGCTGACGCGTCCGCGGTTTGTTTCCCGCGTTATTATCTAAGCAGAGATAAGGTCGCTCGAAAAGACAATTGAAAGTCCTTGCCAGACAATGGACCTATCTGTAGCATCAAGTGGTACTATCAAGAAGTCCACAGCGTTCGAGCCTCCCATCTTACCGAATAAAGCGGGATGTGTGGAAGCAGACGATCTCCAGCAACCTGCTGCGGAGTCTCCCAACCGAAAAATTTTACTACGCCAGCTGCGGGGTTTGCCAGTGTTACAATGATAAAAAAAGAAAAAGCCACCTGTGATACAGGTTGTGCTCGCGTGTATTTTTGCTTTTACCTTTGTAGATCCATATCGTCCTTTCAACGGTCCGTAGTTTACTCCACACGTGGCAGACAGTAACCGTTAAAGTGGCATTTTTGAATGGCTAAGGTTAGAACAGCGGAACTGATGCGGATCCACACGAATTTATCGAGCACGCTGAAATGCCTTAGGTTTCGGTGTAGGTTTCAGCTGTTTTAGATAAGAAATGTTCCTTGGCACGATCGGGCTCTGTGCATATCACCGTGGTAACTCACTGAATATTTATCGAATTTCACCACACCGACCATGAGCGCATGGTCATATGTTGGGTGTTTCCTAGACGACGGCACACAGCCCAGATATATAGTCTTCTAGTACACCATAGCCCAGATAAGATATTCGTATGTGCCCTAGAAAAACCTAAATAAATCGCAGTAAAAGAAAGAATAAAAAAATATCTCGGATTTACTGAAGGCCGTGGTCACATTGCTATGGTAGATAGCAATGTGAGCGCGGTTTCTGCGATAAAATAGAGATCGAAATTATCAAGAAATCGCGCGTCAAAAATCCTGAGCCTTGCTGTACTCCTTCTGTACGAGGGAAGATATTTTACAAAATTAATCAGTCAGTTGATCCCAATCAAACAAAGCTAGATGACAAATAAAAAATGAAAGGCACAGAGAACCCAATTCGAAGAAAGTCGAGTTCGAAACGTTGCAACAGCATGTCGTGTTAATTTAACGCGCTAAAAAGAAGGCACTGCCATTGCATTTGCGCAGACAGGAAAGCAAAACCGCACAAGCAGGAAACACGTTAGCGCGCACAAACAGTATCGCATCGCACAGCAACTTCCCCGTCTACGTTTACCAGGAAACCAGTAACGCAACACCGCGCATTACCGCTGGCAAATTAGCCTTGGGAATATTTGCATGTTCTTACTTTCAGACGGGCAGGAAGCATGCAGCTGTCGAGCTTGCAGTCCACAAAACCGCGTTCTTCGCTGCTTTGAGCGCGCGCCGTGGGTGCTGGCTCGGCCAAGCGCGCGAAGCGATGGATGCTGGCTCGATTTTTCTTTTTCTTGTTTCTTTTTAATTGAGTTCGTGTATCACGTTCTAGCTCGCGATCAAAGAAGAAAAAAAGAAAAGAACAAAACGCCAGCATGAAGTCATAACGACTAGGAAAAAAAATAATGAAGAGAAAAAAGAAAAAGAAAAGCCGACTGGACAAGACAAGCCTCGCAGGAAAGTTCAGGTTACACTCGATAGAAAGGCGAGACGCGATCTTGAAAGCCCATGCCACTATTCTGCCGCCGGCTACGGAGCTTGCGATTGCGTTAGGAGGTACAGTACGAGCATTCGCGGAAACAGTGCCAAGTTTCAATAAGGAACACAGCTCTTACCTCATCTAACCAAGCCGGTCGTGATCTAACGATCTAACCATGCGTAGCCGGTCTGGAAAGGTTTCCCGGGCTTGGAGTACCGCTCGTAAACTTTGCTTGCTTGCATGGCTCCATAAGAGCGGGTAGATAGTAGCACTGCACGTTTTGCGGTATTCAGCGTTTTGCAGCCACTTTATCTGCCGCCAAATGTTCCCGCAACTTTGCACATCTTTTTGGCGGCTTTTGATAAATCCCGCCCACTTCGCTGACTGGAAGAACACGTTCGACAGACGCCCGCCGCGACGACTGGCGCGAAAAAGTGAAGGATTGTGAAGGAAAAGAAGTACAAAAGCGACAAAAGATCCAGACGCGTTCTATTAGGTATTCCTGAAAGCCTTTCGAGACTTCCTGACGTCAGGACACGGTTTTCGTACGAGCAGTCAGGGCAGCCAGTTGCCGTTGGAGTTACTAGATTGAGTGCAGTTAATGTCTTTAGAGTGACTAAAGTTAATTATGTCCAGCGTTGTAACTTTTTGTTTTATTAATATAAACTAAAATTATCTCGCAAGTTAATAATTTTATACAACATGTAAAACCCCATAATTACGGAAAAACAAAACAACTTCAAAGTTTGACGTCATTACTCTACCATTCTTACTTTCACTTGTTGACCTGAATCGAACAAGTAGAATGCAGTGACGGGATCAAACACAACACGGGGGGAGATTGTTTTTGTTCGGAAATAGCTCTTCCCCGTTCGTTGTTTGCTGATGGGAAATTCGATCAAACCACACATCCAGAATGCCGGCAAGACGGGCGTCTGCCAGTTGGCCAACAGCAACCTCAAAGAGGTGAGAATCCGCGACAGCGACTTAAAGTTCGGCTGACGGTGACTTGGTCCGACGAGTCGAGTCGATTGACCTCCCTGTTCACGTGCGACCGTGCGCCGACACGGCAATTAGTCGACTAATCTGCAGCGTCGACTTACCCGGCAATCTTTAATCCACTCCTGTGTTGTAAGATGCACATATCTGTCAACTGGGTGGGGCGGAGAATGTCGAGACGTAGTCTGGCGAATCTCGCGCGGCGCCACCGCCGTCGACTTGAGGTGCCTCAAGTCGAGTTCAGCCTTTCCGGGGAACAAGGCATATGCATTCCACAACTTTCAAATGATACGTTATCGTGGTCAACGTTGGTCGTGATGTAGTGAATGTGAGGGTTGCAGCCGTGAAGAAAAGGGGCATTAAACAGCACATTGTCAACTTTGGGTCTTTGCAGTCGATTTCAACCTTTCCAGTGACAGCTTTAAGACTATCCATTATCGTGATAATACGAATAAAGCAGCGCAAATAGGAGAAGGACATACAAGTAAGATAAAAACGGGCAAACTGGTTAATGTTACACATTTAAAAAAAAACAAAAAAAAAAAACGACGACGGACGAAGGGGACGACCAACTGAAACGTTTTATGTTTGTCCCCTTCGTCTGTCTTCTCCAATTTTTTTTTTTTGTTTTTTAATATGTTGAGACGTTTTGCGGGTGTCCCCTTGTTCGTCCGTCGTCTCCAGCTTTTTCCAAATATAAGATAGAGCAGGCGCTACTTGCTTCTCCTTCCTATTTGCGCTATTTGTACCGAATTGTATCAACTAGTCCAACAACATATCTTTGCTATTATTTGTGATGTAAATATAAGAGCCATAATCATAATAATAATAATAATAATAAAAGCTAAACGGGCTTGTGGCTCACACATGTGCAGAGTTCACTGACCCCATAAATTGAGTAAGGTGTGAACATGTAAGAGCGCTCTTACGTTTTACCCTCATAATCAATACATGGCTTGCACATTCAAAGAGTGCTCCAATGACCATCACAGAAAAGAAGGAGCTCCCCTCTTTCAGGATCCTCTTTTGTGCTTCCTGGAATTGCACAACTGTTGCTATTATCCTCCCAGAAGATTATAGAAGATTAACCCGTCACTCAAAATTCATACAAAAGCAGCTTCTCCCTCATTCCCTTGCATGGTGGTCAAAAGTGTGCGATGTGACGTCAGTGCAAGTCATACATATATGTCATAGCCTATAACTAGGGTTCGGAGTTTTCGGTTTAAACCGATAAAAGTACGCCGAATCCATTTTCGGGAATTCGGTTTTAACCGAAAAAGGTCAGTTTGTAGGTTTGGCGTTTTCGGTTTAAACCGATAAAAGTATGTCTAATCCATTTTCTAAAATTCGGTTTTAACCGAAAAAGGTCAGTTTTTTAGGGCGGCGTCGAGGTGGGAGGGGGGGGGGGAGGGGGGGGGGAGAGAGAGAGAGAGAGAGAGAGGATTTTGCAAGGCTCGTCATTGTGTGACGTCTTCGTGATTGCCCTCTCCCAAAGTTCAACATGCAAAAAAAGAGATCTTGGATTGGCCTTCGCGGGACATCTGTGTCCTTTCTGTGATCGGGCTTAGTGTTAGTGTGTCCAGTTCCAGGTCCTAATGCACTTCAGAGGGCATAGAGGAAAGCCGCAAATACCTTTCTTAACACCCTCTCTCAAACTTCCCTGTGATTAATAACATAAATGCAATAGATTTTTTTTTTTTTCTTTTGCCATTCTGCTGGTTCTTGTATGGTCATCGCCTCAGACGGTCACGTTGTCAGAATGGGAAGGGAAAAGAAGTGCGCTGAAGATTATGCCCGCGAATTCCGCGATGTTGAGGTGTGTCCTGACGGAAGTTGCAGCGAACACCACTTATGTATATGTGCCGTTATTCTTTGAGTGATCACAAATATCACAGCTACTAGGATCATCTGACCCGGTGTCCGATGGTGTTTCTTTAATATTCACCGAAAAAAAACTTTCTTGGGAATAGATATACACCGAAAAAAACCGAAAAATTAGTTTTAAAATAAACACCAAAAAAAGTACGCCGAATTTTGAAAATATAAATATCGAAAACGCGGAACCCTACCTATAACTAGGGTTCGGAGTTTTCGGTCTAAACCGATAAAAAAAAAAAAAAAAAAAAGTACGCCGAATTCATTTTCGGAAATTCGGTTTTAACTGAAAATGGTCAGTTTGTAGGTTCAGCATTTTCGGTTTAAATCGATAAAAACCGATAACAGTACGTCTAATTTGTTTTCTAAAATTTGGTTTTAACCGAAAAGGTAAGTTTTTATGGCCGCGTCGAGGTGGGTGGGGGAGGGGGGATAGAGAGGGGGCTTTGCAAGGTTTGAAACTGTGTGACGTCTTCGTGATTGCCCTTCTTCCAAGGTTCAACATGCAACAAAAAGAGGTCTTGGATTGTCCTGCGTGGGACATCTGTGTCTTTTCTGTAGTCAGGCTTTGTGTGTAAAGTTCCCGGTCCTAAAAAAAAAAGTTTGGATGTGGACTAATATTAGGTTTTTCGCTTCATGCACTTTGGAGGACGTCGAGAAAACTATTTAACGCCTTTCTTAACACCCTGTTCCTTGTAATGGAAAACATAAATACAATAAATATATATTTTTTTCCATTCTGTTGGTTTTTGTGTGGTCATCACATCAGACGGCCACGTCGTCAGAATGGGAAGGAAAAAGAAGTGCGCTGAAGATTACGCCCGCAAATTCGCGATTTTGAGGTGTGTCCTGATGCAAGTTGTAGCGAAAACCATGTATGCAGGGTGTCGAACCGGAACCGAACCGAAAACCGGAACAGAACCGTTATTTTTAGCCGAACCGGAACTGAACCGAACCGAAATCTTCGCCGCCATCTTGGAACCGAACCGGAATCGAACCGAAAAAAAATATAACGGTAACCGGTTCAAAACGGTTCAAGGTAATATTTCTTTTTTTTTTTCTTTTTTGTTAGTATCACAAAATGAACATATGGGAACAAAAAATTGGCTGCTGTATTTATATGTATTGATCAAATCGTCATATACAGAATTGCAATGAATGATAAATTGTAGGTTTTTGTGGCACCTTTGTATTGGCACTATGATTAACCATGTGTCACGTGGTCACGTGACGTCATGGTGTCACTACACGTTGTCAAGTAATGTCATGTGGCCTCGTGACATCACGTGACTCACTGCGTCAACCTGATCCAATTGAAGGAAGTCATTAGATGTATTAACCTTGTGGACAGCATGACATAACATGACATAACGATTTCGCACCGAGAGTCACGTGACACCATGATGTAAGCGATTTTCATAACCCCTACTTCAGTGCTCGGGCTCATGACAATCAGCATTGCCAAACATTCGGGTAACGGCTCATGTCAATTAAATATGATAATTAATAGCCCAACTCTAACAATATCTGAAGCTCAGCACAAGCTTTTGCTTTCCAAACCCTATCCGCCTAGGGCATGACTGTGATGAACACTGGCGGCATATAATTAGCGTCAGATCACGTGGCCGCTTGTTAAATTGCGAGTTGGGGAGATATCGACAGCTGTCTCTGTCCTTTATTTTTTCTGCATCTGTTATTAAGGAAAACTAATGAATGTTTCCGCAAGCTATCAACGTCAGGGGTTATTTCTTAACACTATTTATTGAAAGTACGAAAAAAAAAGTTGCAAGACCAATTTTACATTATTGAGGCACCGAAACATTTTTTCGTTGTTGCTGAACTGCATCTGAAAGATGTCTCTGAGAATAGAAGTTCTTAAATGACTAAATGCGACTTAATATTATGACGTCACATAGAACACGTGTTTACGGAAGGAATACATAAAAAAGATATTTTAGTGACCTCAGAGGAACAGCCGAACGTTGGCAGTCGCTGTAAGTCTCACAGCAGCCTGGTTTTCAAGTTATTGCCTAAGTTTCGACCCCCTCTGAATTTTGCTGAAATTAGCTATAAAAATATTTGTATAAATTACTAAATACTACTCAGGATCACTCTTTAACGTTAATAACTGATTGAACTTGGCTTTGCTTTTTTTTTTCTAGGCAATGGCAGTCACCAAAAAATTAGAGAAATATGAGCATCGTTCATCCCCTCAACTCGGAGCCAGAAGCGGCCATGTGGCCTGGTGCCTGTCTTATGCCGCCAACGTTAGTCATACCCCCCCGCGCTGGGGTTTTAAAGGAAGAAAACGCGTGCTGGAGCTCCAGGTATTGTTAGAGTTCGACTATTCTCATCACCGCAGTGATGAGAATAGTCGAACTTCGGTAGTGGCACACGCAGTGATGAGAATAGTCGAACTTGGGCAGTGGCACAAGAGCCACTACCCAAGTGTCCGCCGAGGCATTGATTGTTACGATCCGATGTACGGTGCTCACGCAGCTCTCCTGTTCAATCTATGAGCCGCGCTCGACTGTCGACAGGCGGGTGATTTTGATCCCACAATTACGATATCAATCTTTGGGAAGGCAAGATTAAAAGAAATAGTCTCATTTAATACCCGCCATATCACAGCGACAAAGAAGCTTCTGAGTCAGTGGCGGCCTATGCGAGTACACTTGAGCCAGAGGACCAGTACGCCTCGGAAAAGTCATGAACATTCGAACCCGATATCGTTTCATGACCCCTTTAAACTTCACGGGGTGTAAAATAAAAGCAACGAAGGGTTGCGGTTAACAAGTGTCAAATAAAATTGTCGAATTAACAGACACAAAACGAAGGAGGCAATCCCTCAGGAATACTTTCAGCCTTTCTACTCTGGTGAAGAAGGAAGACCAGAAAAGCTGTTCTATGGTGGGAATGAAGTAATGGCCGGCCGCAAGTCGGCAAGTCAGAGTGGAAAGGCTGGAAAGGTTGCCGCCATCTATGAGCGACGGCGGCAACCAGGCAACCGGCAAGCCGGTTGTCTGGTTGCCGTCGTCCTTTATAGATGGCGGTAGCTGTCCAGAGTTTAGTGTCATTATTTGTTTTCTGAC